CAAAAATTGTGTGTGTGTGCAATCGAAGAATAGCTTGATTTGAAAGAGAATCTTCTTCTTGCTCTCTTCTGATATAGAATCCATAATGCGGCGAAGGCTTGGGAAAAACAAGTACGCAAAGACGGACAACACTTTACTATATTGTACTATAAACGACATTTTTCTCCTTTTTTGTTTTTGTAAAGAGACAAACATTGACCTTCACACAAGGGCAGATTGCTTTTTACAAAGAAATTAAAGATATCATCTCGGTTTCGTTTCTTGCCCATACTTCTTCTAGGTATTAGAATTTTTCAAACGAATCGAAATTCGTTTATTTTGGCAACAGGCAGGATGCCCAAGACAGAATGCTAAAGGTAAAGATGATTCGTTTAAAACCCAATAGTAAATAGTGTAACTCACCTTGCACTTGATTAATGAAAAAATATATTATATAATATGGAGGAGGCTCTCCATATTGCCTGCAATGTAATAATTGTTGTTGTTATTTATTAATTGTTCTACATTTATGCGTTTAAATGAAATAAAAATAGAAGAGAAGAAAATTGAAAAACCGAAGCGAAACCGAAACCGAAACTTTATGAAATTAAATGAATATCGTTGAAAAGAAAAATCAAAAAAAACGATGGTTATAAATAATGAAGTGCCTCGTTATATATATCGCAGTTTAAAAAGAAACGTGATATTGACATATTAAGATACGGAATACGCGCACCGCTATTAATAATATATAACTGAGTTTTTCTTATTCACTTTAAAGAGGATATCAAATGAAATTAATGGTAAGATTAACCGCTTAATCTCTTACCCCCAAATGCTTGAAAGAAAATCATCGATATTTATGAATAAGAGAGAATTAAGCAAAATTACAAAAATTGATCTATGCTTAAACACGCTATAAATACTGACGGATATTGAAAAGAAATTCTTCGAAAATGTTGAAAAAAAAAATCATTTATCATAAAAATTCAAATCGTGAATAAAACGTTTTGCTCAATTAAAAATATCTACTTGTGCCTATAAATGTATTGATTGAAGGAAAAAAACGCACAAAATCTAACAATACCTTTGGGTATCATTATAAAAAGTGAAGTGCCGTCTTGTGAACACATACACTTCGACATACATTAACGTCTTGTAAAAAGTATCGACCCCGGCATATAGTCTTCGAACTTATTCAATTCATAGATTCCGAATTAAGCGACGAAGCATGTACTGTTAAGCTCAATATTTTTTAAAATGCTTATTAATAAATAAATTCCCTACAAAACAGTAATGCTTTGTATGAAAGCTAAATTCCTGGAAAGTATTCATAAAAAATTCGAATGGATTCGTTTAGTCGAACAACAGAATGCAAATTTTTGATGGGAAATTTTTCGTTTAGAAAAGAGCTTGAGAGAAAGAAAAACACTCAGCTTCTAATTAAAAAACCCGATTGAGATCAGTTCTCACCGCAGCCCATAACTCTTTCTCTCTCTCTCTCTCTCTCTCTCTCTCTCTCTCTCTAATAACCTTTCATTTAGCCATTCCGTTACAAGTCTCAAAATAGAAGCGACAAGCTATGTGATTTATAGATGAACGTGAGGTTTGGAGCCGCTCGAGCCACGTTTGTGTAATTATTTATCGTTTCAAAGTCGCACAACCAATGCCTTTCGTCTGACATTGATTCCGCACAAAACAGCATGCGTACAATAAGTAAAAGACGAGGCAAAAGTCTTTGATTTCCATTAACTTGGGTCAATATCTAAAAAATTTTTCTACAAAATTTTAACCAATGTTTGCTTAGTTAGTTAGTATTTGGGTCAGGTTTGTAAGCTGATTTCAATCACTTTTGTATTGAAATTTTAAAAGGTTTAAACAAACTTCAAATGTACAACTGCCATGGATTATATATATATACAAGGCATATATATTATAATTATATTATAATTCTGGGCCAATCACAACAATCTTTAAATTTTATGGAAACCAAGTTCGCAAAACTTACAAATTTAAAATTAATGAACAAAAACTAATCAACCACTTCGATTAGTCTGCATAGAGTTCCCAAAATAATTTCTCTGATTTCTACATATTTCAAATATCTTAAAGAAATGTTCTCTGAAAAATAAAAATATTAATGAAAACTTTGTTAATTTCGTTGGCAGCAATTAGGAATACAAGTGCTTTTGATTCTGCTTTTATTCGGCAAGAGCACGAATGCAAAAAGACGAAATAGCGATGATGCCGAGACGAACGAGTATGCAATTCATCAGCATAATTACGAAGAGGAACGTACGTCAGAAACGGGTGATGATCATCGTGTGAAAGGAATGGAACGGTTGCCACGCAAAATTAATTCGGATCAAAATATTTTTCAAAGAGGAAAGCGCGGCTCACAAAAATATGATCATCTTCCAGCAGCCATTAAGCCGGTGAATCGCAAAAAGAAACATATTATAATTAAAATACATCCAAGTCATAAGAAATCACTGCAACGACATCACATACTTGAGGAGAAGCAATTTCATAATCCTCGTCTTGACGATATACAAGAGTTTCACACTTTTGAGGAAACACATGAGCACCTTGATGAAAAACCAGAACAAAATGGCGAAGACAAATTTCCAATTGAAGTAAATCAGCCAACGGAGCCTGCGGAGACGTATGATGTCCCTGTCGATAAGCAGCTTGAAGATCCTCATACGCAGGAAACGCAGCATTTTCATTCAGAGGAAGGAAAACACGATAAGTCCAAAAAAATCAAAATCAAACATCATCATCACCATCATCATCATAATCATGTCAAAGAAATTATTAAAAAGGTTCCAGAACCATATCCTGTTGAGAAAGTCGTTCATGTACCGGTAGAAAAAATCGTAGAAAAAATTGTTCATGTGCCAAAACCATATCCCGTAGAGAAAATTGTCGAAAAGGTAGTAAAAATACCAGTGGAAAAAATAGTTCATGTACCCAAACCGTATCCAGTTGAAAAAATTGTTGAAAAAAAAGTGCCCTACCCAGTAGAAAAGCTTGTTCATGTCCCCGTCGAGAAAATTGTTGAAAAAAAAGTACCATATCCTGTAGAAAAAATTGTACATGTTCCTATCGAGAAAATAGTTGAAAAAATTGTCCACATTCCGAAACCTTATCCGGTCGAGAAGGTGGTTGAGAAAATCGTACATGTTCCCGTTGAAAAAATCATAGAGAAGAAGGTGCCCGTTACAGTTGAAAAGAAAGTGCCTTACCCTGTTGAAAAAATTGTTCACATTCCAGTAGAGAAAATTGTGGAAAAAATTGTTCATGTTCCTCAACCATATCCCGTCGAAAAGGTTGTCAATAAATTTATACCAGTGCCAAAGCCTTACGCTGTTGTTAAAGCAATTCCCTATCCGGTTGAAGTAAAAGTGCCGTACCAGATAGAGAAACCAGTTCCGTACGCGGTGGAAAAACAAGTTCCCGTCCCATATAAAGTAGAAATAGAAAAAAAAGTACCAGTATATATACATTCGAAAGAGCCTTACAAATATGTGCATCCTCATGATGCACATGTGGAATTAGATGAACACTCAAGCGATACGCACATTCATGAAGATCACTCCAGTCATCAGGAAGACTATGGGCAACATCAACACGATGTTGAGCCATACCACGGGCAAACTGGACATGACTTGTCTGTGTTTCCGTCAAATCACAAACCTAGCGTAACTAGCTATAAACAGGAGTTAATTCATAAACCAAACCATCAACAAGCACACAACTATAACTACAATCAGAAGAACCAGAACAGTCCGAACAATCGGCAGCACTCGGCCCAAGAAACTAAAAGGGTTGAAGTAACTTTAGCACCTCCCGAAGTAAAAGCTGACTCTGAATTTCGCATACATGTGCCGGATGAAGAACCAGCCGGCAGTGCCCCTCAGCCACAATTCGCTATTCCACCATCCAGCGAATCTTCTTTAGATCTACTCCCGCAAGCATCTACTAATTCGGTTCACTTAACCCAATTGCAGCCGATAGCTTTACCTTTACAGTTTATACATTATCAACCTATACAATATCAACAGCCTATAGGATTCGCTTTAAACAGATCATCACAGTATAAATAAAATTTGCTTTACCTAAAAATTCACATAATAATTGAGAAGTTTATACTAGTCGGTGCATTTCTATCTTTCTAGCATCCTGACGAAATCGCGTTGTAAATAATATCGTTTCAAACCTAATGAGCATGCATGTTTATATATAAACATATAAACATTTAAACATGAACATCTCCATATTCCATACAAATATGTCGTTTACGCTACAATATAGAATGTAAGTTTGTTTATATAAAATTATGTGGATAAAGATTCGAATTTCAATTATTTAAAATATTAAGGTAAGTAAACTCTCGGTTTGAGTCAAATCTCTCTCTCTCTCTCTCTAAAATGATTGAAAGTTAAAATATCTTCCTTTCAACTGTTCCAATTAAATAACAAAAACTAATGTTTAAAGCAAATTTTAATTATTTAATAGTTTGTACTGTTATTGTAATACTCTCCCGCTTCACTGTACTCCAATCTGTTGTTATTAATGTTAAAAATATATTTATTAGACAATTTCAATAACATTTGTACTTAAATATAATAAATTTTAAGACAAATCAAACAACTATTTCTTGCTTTACAAAACCCGTCTCCTCTAATAATTGCTGAAAACCATTCGGTATACGACCTTCACTCAATTCAGAGCTCCATAGTCTGTACTGAAAATCACGTATTTAAAATTACCGAATATTAGAAACCTTGATTACATTCTAAATAAATCTGTTAAAAATAAATTGTGTCATACTAACTTACACGCTCCAGTTCTGCACGCAATGCAAGAACAGCTTTTTCTCGGTCAGCAACTAGTTCTTCCAGATATTGATAACGCAATTTTTTGCGAGCACGACACTCACGGGCGCTTTGACGACTCCGTTCTTTTAATAAAGAAATAATTATCCATTATTTTTTCCTATTTCAGAAATGTTTATCGTAATTGGTATTAACTAAAGTAAATGTAAAAAGCAATTATTTTAAGGCTTTGGAAAAACATATTTTATTCAAACTGTTATTCGTCACTCGCTAAGCGTTTCTTCTATCTTTGCGAGAGGTTATAATTTTAATGCTGAAAGAACAGCTGATCTGACTGATAAGGCAAGTAACCATTTTTTATGTATTATCCTCAAGCATACAATAAGTCATGGATTGAATGAAGCTGTCGTTAGTTGGAAGTGACAATTTCTGAGAAATACATAAGTCATGGGATTACGTTACACTTCAGTGTTGCTTACGAACTTTGTAATTAGTTGTCGAGAACCGTGATGCTGAAAAACCGCTCTACAGAGTGGCTGCTTCTTCCCTAATTCTCGGTTCAATATAGTCAGCTTTGTTATGGTTCGTACTATTCTTCAATGGTAACGCGTATTTGGATTATAGCGCACCATACATTTTTCGTTTAATCAAAGAAAAATGATGATCTTTTCGCATACATGATATAAAATTATGCTTTCGAAATACAAGTCATATGAATCCATAATCTTGCACAAATGTTCCTCAACGGCCTTTATGTAAAAATGGTTCCGATTGGCGAATAAACGCATTCTTAATACTATAACACGTTGAAAATCAAAATTTTGTATTCCCGCTCCTTTAATATTAAAAGCTTAGAACTAATTTAAATTTATGAAACTAAACGTCTCTTAACCCAGATATACATAAATTTGCATAAATTAAGTGTAAAGTTAGTTACAGTGAAGAAATGATGTAAAGCGTTCGCGGACGATTAGTTGGAAGATTACATGTGATTTTAACTCCTTGAATTTATGACAATAATCCTATACTATAAAATATGAAAGTGAAAAAACTCAGATGTACGATTAATTTAATCCTTCTAAACCATACACCATGGACCTCAAAATCATTCGATAGCAAGTCTATTGCATTGTTTCTTTTTTTTTACATAATTCAGTTACGTTCCCCTAGCTAACGCTGTTAACTATTTCATGGAATTACTGATACACTTTTATTGTTACTAGATCTTTTCTTTTTTTTTTTTGTTAAAATGGTTCAGCAAACCTAAAACTAAACAACTAAAAACTTACCTAACTTAGCTCTAATATCAATTTTTTCGTTTGATGCTTTTCGGCCGGGCTTACGTCCTCGTTTACCTCCCTCCTTGCGTTCCTAAAAATAAACGGACATGTATACTTAGTAATCAAATACATGCTTAAGTATTCTTTCGACATTGTTCAATGTTACAAAGGTTATACTAAAAAGGGATGAAATCGTCCCTTCTCCGTTTTTCCGCTTTTCATCAGATATACAATTATACGCACAACGATACGCACACTTTAGACCCGTAATATTGTCTAATAACGCACTTTGTTCGTTATTACGTAGTTTGTAAATGTTGCGACTTTGCATTTCAAGCTTTTTCTTATTACGCTTAGGACTTTTTAAATTAATACTTAAGCGAAGGCTAGGTAAGGAAATTTAGGCTAGGAAATTTCCTTAACTAAGAATATATAGGTTTTTTTAAATCAAAGTTACAGAAATATGCCGTTCTGATTGATTTCATTAAGTTTGATATTTGATTTGTAACATTTGACTAGATGAATCTGCGTATCTGCGTTCAGAGATACTTGGCCATATAAACTTTTAACTAAATCATAATTTTGATTACTTACAGAGAGATTCGGTTCCTCCGATATTATCATTTGCATATCTTCACAATCCATTATTTTTGGCTTAATCCTTTTCTTAGTTGTGCTTTAGGAACAACTATTATTAAAAGTTTACACGTAAAGAACAATGTTTTGTTTTCCCAAGGTATTAACAGATTAGAGATGTAACATTGACCGATGGTTCGATATTGTACTGTGTACGATATTGTATTATCGTTGCCAGATTTTTTAATTTCTATAAAACAACAAGTTGTGGAATGAAACGATATATAAAATATGTTCTTGGCGTAGACTTTTTATGAAGGTATTCGAATTTTGTTTATGTAACTTTTTCAAAACTATGCACAGAAATGAAGATTACTGACGATAAAAACTGTCGTAGGACAATTGAGAAAAATACTTTTGTGGAACATTTACGCAAGCGAACAAACATTGCAAACGGGATCCACAACTTTTGAATTTTTCAGTTCATTTTGTAATGGTTATAAAAAAAAAGTCTTCAAAGTTTTTCATCACACGGCATCTTAAAATAGTTTTCGTTCCTTGGGAACAAGACTTGAAATGAAATCTCAAAAAATCAATTTAAAATTGCACGTTAGAAAGTGAGTTTGATTGTGACTTCTTTTCAACGCATGAGTTTGTTACCACAGAAATATGACATATTTATATACGAGTTTTAATCTAATGGATTGAGAACAATTAAAATCTTCTTAGATATCCATCTGTGCAAGCGCACTGCAGCAAGTGTTTCATTTTAACTCTGTGAGCCTATGAAAGATTCGTATTTAATATTAAACTTGATTTGTACTGTTAGTTAAGCTTGTTATATTTGTATTTAATTACGACCGTGAAAGCGTGCCAGTTGCAGAATGTACAGGAATAAAGCGTGCCAGTTGCAGAATATATAGAAATAAAGCGCGCCAGTTGCAGGTAAGGGAACATTGTCATGATTTACCTTTTATTATTTCTTGAAAAGTGAAAAATTTTTCTATTTCATTATGAATAAAGTTTTCAAATAAAACAGGAGTATAATTGCGTTTATTCAATGAATACTTAAATATAATAAACAAGAAAGTACTCTCATATCCTTATGTCGTTATAAATCGAGAGTATATAATTCGTAATTTTTTGTATTATAAATCGAACAACTTCCTTGTTATAATCTGCTTGTGCATATTTGAATGAAATTACACTGATAGCTAAATTAATTTATATACAATCTGTAGCCATTAAGAGTGCTTTAAGACATCACGTCGGCTACATACAAAAATCTCCTTATTATAAATTCGTTCAGCTTCTTGTCATTTAGTTAAGTAAACTATCGGCTGCAATGTTGAAGGTATCCAAAAAAACTCCCATTGGTGTTGAAGCACTTAGATTCACCATTGTATTTGCCACCTTATTTTTTAAATTCCTAAGACGCAAGGACGCATGTACGAAGGTTACTGAATATAATTACAAAAGATTTAATTTAATAATTAACTTTTTAAACGAAACAATTATCTAAAACAGGTAAAAGTATAAAAGGTACTTTTGGAGGAGCGACAACCTCTGCATTCATTACTGAAAGAAGACACTTGTCCTACTTTTGATCGTGATTCACTTTTATATGTCTTATTAGATATGTATGCAATAAAATACTTACACGAAAATGGCAAGAGCAAAGTAAAGCCAGATAAAAGCAGCGCATCAAAAAAATGTAAAAACAAATATCCCACAAGTAAAGCGCCTGCAAGCATGTACCATTTTTGATTATCCGCAGCACTGTGACTAACTATAATACGGGTCTTCTTTTGAAAAAACTGCAAGAGCACTGCCACCATCATAGCTTGTACCAAAAGGCCGCACACAATTTTAAAAGGATTGAATATTACCATTATTCCATAGATCGTAATGAACATAAGAAAATAATTTGTTTGATAGTAGATAAGATTCTTAACCACACGATTACCCCATTTGTCGAAATCTTTCAAATTTGGTAATTGAAAACGTGCCGAACCTAAAGCAAAATCATCCAGAGTACGTAGTGGTGGTAGCTCAAGCTTTTGAATAGCCTCTGAAACGTCAGCAGACATTGTATGGCAAAATCTTATTTGTACAACAGATACGTGGTGTAATATCCAATTCTACAACGACTAATACTTGACCTATGTTTACTTGAAAGTCCAGGAATTTTAATTCACAAATGAAGTCACTGCCGATTTTGTGATGGCACATTAACGATAATTCGATAACATCACACTTTACACTTGAATTTGTTATAAAAACGTTTTCCTATTCAACTCGCGCCGTTGAGAAATTTTTTTTTTTTAACTTGTGAAAAAACTGTAAAATTATCATAATAAATTTTGGGGACAATGTCCCGATTTTCGCTGAGGAATGAACTCCAGTCGATCCCATTGCATCTTTCTACTGGATGTATTAAAATATTATACAGGAATTATTAAGAGGGTAGGTGGTGTTGTTTATTTAATGTAATAACAAATGCTCTCATATTATAGGTCGCGTAGTTAAAGATAAATTCATTCTTAACCTAAAACTGTTTGACACACTATGCATTCTATTTTCGTTACCTTGTAGAAGACGAAACATAAAATCAGAGAGTTATGTTTAGCAACATCTATTTATGATTTTGTAAATAATAACCTTGTTAAAACCACTATATTTGCAAAGCTTTTTGTGTGTGTTTATGTTTTAAAGCTTGTACTGTGTGTGGTTGTATTTACAAATTCTAATTTTTGTTCACGTTTGTAATGGACGTGCTATTGTTTACATTTCAAATAGTTTTTTCAATAGTTTTTATTGCTTATAAGTTCTATATGTGTTTGTTGTTGGAAAAGTTCCTTTACGAGCCTAAGTAGTAAATCAAGTTTTTATAAGTGTACAAATAAATAAAACAAGAAGAAGGAAGAAGAAAAAACGAAAAGGACTTATATCAATTTAACAGCCAATTACAAACTTTCAATTTATATTATACGTTATTTTCCAGAATAGGAAAAAAGGCAATAAAAGTGCTTGATTTCAAGTTTAAAACATATTCGTCGATTTATGTTTTATAAAAATGTATTACACAAAAGAGTAATTTTAAAATAATATAACAAGAACGGTAAAGGATTTCCGATGGTATCATAATTTTTTTTTAAGTTGTTTTCCTTAAAAATTTTATGTGGTATGTTACCGTATTTTCAATACATTAATATTGTGTTTTCTTATGGCGAATGACATCACAGTAGTCCGGTAGCACTGTTAGAGAGCGCCCGCTTTTGTTTCATTTATTTGAGCGTACAAATTTTTTCGAATAGGTTTTATTTTTAAAGTATTTGTAGCACATTATAAAATAATATATTTATATTTCATCACATCAAAAGTGACCTCGTGAAAGAAAGTTTCTCTCAATTGATTTTTGCAAAAAAATATGGCTGAAGCAGAATCTACACAGCGGGAAGTTCGTTCCTTCTTAATGGCTCGTGATCCAAGCATTGATCGACGTTGTAGACCACGTCCACAACAAAAAATAGCGCTTTTTCATGATATCAAGGAAGAAGATGACGACTGTGAAATCGATTGTTCCTTGGATGATACTAGTGATCTTGCTAGTGCAGACGGAATTAGTGAAACCGCTAGCTCAAGCGCAACAAATGACGCTACCATCGCCAACCCGTCGAATGAAGTGGGAGCATCCGTCTATCTAAGGCTGCGTCCAGTAGATTGTCCGACTTCAACGTTTGCTATTTCTAAGGAAGGAAATGTTTTGATTTGCTCCCCACCTCTTGAAGCAACAAATTTAAATAAGAATTCGGCGGAGAAGCACTACAGTTTTACAGATATACTCGATTCACACGTTAGTCAATATGAATTGTATGAAAAGTGTATTGGGCAGAAAATAATCGCGGAAGAAAGTTTTACCGTTCTAACGTACGGAATTTCAGGATCAGGCAAAACGTTTACATTACTTGGCGATGATCATCGGCCTGGGATAATACCTCGCTCCCTTGAAAATGTATTTTCCTTATATGAAGGTCAAATATATCCACATCCTTCCGTTAAACTTATCAATGGGCACATAACAATTTTGGAAGATAGTGCGACTGGCAAGGAAAATTTAATGCGGAAAAAGATATTGGCACAAAACTTAGAGCTTGAAAGCCAGCACAAAAGTTTCCAACAGTGTATACAGAACGAGCATCGTTTCCCGAAAGGCCCCATTGACGATGCTCACGTATTAATTTGGGTAACCTTCGTCGAGATTTATAATGAACAAGTTCATGATCTATTAGCTAGCGATGCTCCTAAATATGGTGTGCAGCCAAATGCTTCTAGGAAAAATTTGAAAATAATTTGCAATGACGGCCGCGTGTTTATTAAGTCTGCAACATCGATCTATGTAAAAAGTAGCTTGGAAGCATTGAAATTATTGCGTTATGGTCAGAAAAAGTTGACATATGCATCAACTTTAATAAATGCGAGCTCCAGTCGATCCCATTGCATCTTTCTGCTGGATGTATTAAAATATTATACAGGCGTTATTAAGAGGGTAGGTGGTGTCGTTTATTTAATGTAATAACAAATGCTCTCATATTATAGATCGCGTAGTTAAAGATAAATTCATTCATGCCATTTGATTCTATTCGTAAAGGGTCTCAACCTAAAACTATTTAACACACTATGCATTCTATTTTCCAATTTTATTGCAGACTTCATATAAATTTTGTGACTTAGCCGGTTCTGAAAGACTAGATAAAACGGGAAATGTTGGCTCTCGGCTAAAGGAAGCTCAACGCATAAATACATCACTTATGGTTTTAGGTATAAGTATAGATATACCCTGTGAGTATAGATATATCCGGTAATGAAAATGAAAAATGTGGGAGATATTAATCTTAATTGCTTAAAATTTCGTTTTTTCTCACTTTAACAGCGGTGGCCCCTCGATTTCTCACTTTAACAGCGATGGCCCTTCAATTTCTCAATTTAACAGCGATGGCCCTTCAATTTCTCAATTTAACAGCGGTGGCCCTCCGATTTCTTACTTTAACATCCGTGGCCATTCGATTTCTTAATTTAACAGCGATGGTCATTCGATTTCTGAATTTAACAGCGATGGCCCTTCAATTTCTCACTTTAACAGCGGTGACCCTTCGATTTCTTAATTTAACAGCGGTGGCCATCGATTTCTCACTTTAACAGCGGTGACCCTTCGATTTCTTAATTTAACAGCGGTGGCCATCGATTTCTCACTTTAACAGCGACGCCCCTTCTCTCGCACTCGACTACTTTATATTTTCTGCTTATTAGTAATAAGATAAACAAGAACAAATGCTGAAAATTATGCTTTAGCAGATAATTGTAAAATAAGTATAGTGAACACTAGCTTATCTGATGGATTAATTATGATTTTAGGGCGTTGCCTGGACGCAGCCAGTGCAGCTGGTAATAAGCCAGAACGTATACCCTTTCGTGAGTCAAAACTTACAATGTTATTACAAACGGCACTCCAAGGTAGAGAAAAGTTGACGATGGTAGTCAATTTAACACCTTTGGATAAATACTATGAAGAAAATTCCAACGTGTTAAACTTCGCCTCAATCGCTAGAAATATAATATTCAAATCATCAATAGCATTCAAAAATCATACACGATATTCGAATTTCATGGGAAACACCCGCTGTGATATAGAGGAAGACGATAAAGCGAAAGACGAATATATTCAAGATTTGGAGGAAGAAAATGCACGGTAAGTTGGTGACAGTATTAATTGAGTTAAAATATTTGAAAGCTGTTTTCAGTTTACACGAAGAATTGCAATCATTGCGTGGACAACTGGAAGAACAAGAACAATTTTTACACACCAAACTTCAACAGCTAGAGGAGGTATTACGTGCCCAACATTCTGAAGAATTGGAAGAGCAGGAGGATACGTTGAGGAATAAATTAGTAGATTCGTTTAAAGTTACTTTGGCCGAAACCAAAAAGCAAAGTGAAAAACGTTTACAGGTTCAATTAAATTGCCAAGCGCAAATTTACGAAACGAAGGTATTTTATATTATCACTGATTGCAAGCTATATATATGACATCGCTTAAATGTTTTCAGATTGCTTCACTTACTAGAAAATATAAGGCAGAGATTGAAGATCTAGAGGAAGAATTGGAACGCCGAAAGTAAAAATTTATTTATTCCAACAAATTGAGAATTTTTTTTTGTTCTATTTTTTACGTTTTCATTCAATGTTTTAATTATTGTCATCAAATATATACACATATTTACAGAGAAAGTTTAAAAAGTTATTTACTGGAGCTGTAGCTGGATTAGATCACGACCACCATCAGATCACAGTGTTCACAGATTCAAATATCAAATGTGGCAGAGTTTATTTTGCCATAACTATAGTCAGTGCTTTTCTTTGACCGTCGCAGCGTCACGCGGACATCCATTCCTGAACGATTGGACAATAATAATTTAGCGGAAGTAGAGCATAGATCTTAGTCGTCCAATTAAGTTTTCTAAAAGATATTCTATGAACGTTATGTTTCAGAATGCAGGTGTAACGAACGTTCATTACCTTATATAAAAAAGATTTTAAAGACAATGAATGATTTCTACTTTGAAATTTTTACGATTTCCCCTATTTTAAGATTTATGTAAAGATTTATCGTTATTGCTGCACTATTTTAATTTTGCAAATCACCCGACACAATTGTAAAGGTAGGTTAAGTGTTCGCAAGGATCGGTTGGCAAACTTTACACCGTGAGTAGATCTTTTTAGACATTCAAAGCCGAAGACCAATTGTGTCGGAATATATCAACGCCTACATCTCCATAACATTTTTTGGAAGCTTACACTAATTACACTAATGTTGCAACTAATACTAATACCAATGTTGATTTCGCTTGGTTGTTTTTAGGAACGCGATATAATATTAATTTCAGGAGTGAGATCAAGCAAGGAGCATATATGTGACGATGTGCACCATGGATTAGGTTTCATACGAAACGAAAGATCAACCGGACTCGCAATTTCTCGGCCTCGTTGTCTGCTTATAGTATATACGGCAACCCCGACACACTCTTTTTGGATCCTCATTGGCGTATGATCATAAATTACTGCATCGATAATGATGCCTACCTCGGTCATTTGCCGGCAACGTTGTCTGACCCACCAGCACTAGTCGAAGGAACAGTTAATACTCAAGATAATTAATTACTTTTGGCCTTAATATTCATTTTTCATTTTTTAATTAATAACATTAAGATAAGATAAGATTGAATTACTTTTAATTATTTAATCAATATAAACTTACTGAACATTTAGTTCTTAACATTAATTAATAAATAAAAATAAGACTATTTTTCCATTTTCTCATAAAAGTTAACATATTTTTTAAATATGGATTCCAACGAACAACGAACAAGGATTAAGTTTGTATGTACATGTCTTCTTCTTGTTGCTCTGAGAAAATTTGTTTTGCTGCAGTAGATCCGAATAAATGATGCTGGAAACTATTAATTTAATATTTTGTCGACATATATTGATATTGTTGCAGAAGCGAAATGATGAAAAATGAAAATGAGTAAATTGCAATATGTCTTCTTTTCCTTTCGTTACAGGATATATCTATACATTTTGGTGCAATAATATATGACTTTTACAATTACCAACCGAAATAGGAAATTGCAATTTTATTGAAAACTTTAGGCTTAAGAGGTAACAAGTTACAGCAATTGCCTGACAGTATTAGTTGTTTAAAAAAATTACGTTGGCCTCCGTACCGCATGGTCTAAAGGAATTGAAGCAGTTGGTCCATTTAAATTTAAAAAATAATCGCTTGCTTCGCATACCATCGCATACCTTAGCGAAAATGAGTAAATTGCAATATGTCTTCTTAAATGATAATCGCATTGAGCAAATCTGTTCCACTCAACAACTTCAGAGTATGAAATTTATTCGTATGCTAAATTTATGTGGAAATCCCTTCTGTGAACTAGCAGCAGTAAGAGGACAATTAAAGGACAATTGCTCTAAAGGAGAACGTTCATTAAGAAAAAAGTCTCTCGTTTCAGGAACATTAAAATATTTTATATGAATTATTGGAACAAAAATCTGTGGGCGTAACCGGTGACTTGGACGATTTTAAAGTAGATGAAGAAGAGGAATTATCTGATTGGGAAAATAGTATTGAGACTAGTGATTTGGACAGTACTGATGATAGTAGTCTCGAAAATGATTTGGATGTATTTCTTCTAAATGTCCTTTCGTTACAGGATATATCTATACTTATACCAGAACACTCGCGCTATATGACAAATTTCAGTTAAAGGTTTTTTTGGTCTTTATATCTAATTATCTTGTGAAAATTAGAGATTTATACATACGTATGTAAGTTGAAAAACCAACAAGCAAATATTGCTATTAAAAAAATTTGGAGAATATATCAAGTGAATGGACTTCGCTCTACTTTATGATCAAGTAAATAAATTTTATAGGTCATCATCATCAGATGTGTCGAAACTATTTTTAAAATCATTGGACGTTATGCTTTTTCCTACTTTCCTCAATGTGGCTGATAATCAATTAGCTGAACACTATCTACCTTGCTTGCTAATTCTGCCAAGGCAGAGAAAACATGAATGTTATTCAAAAACGTGTAATTATGTTACAATATACTTACTTACTGTAAATTCCAAATTTAGCAAATATCACAAATATATTTACGTAAAGAAGAATGTGAGCGTGTGTGTGTACATTTACGAATCAAATAATTTCTAGTTTGTAATTTACGTTATCATTAAATGAAATAAGTAAATAAATAAATTGATATTTGTTACATTTTATATAATTTATATTTAAATATAAATAGCTTTATTTATATAATAGCTTTATTATATACTCAAAAAAAAATGGCTTTATTAATTTATATAACAATATATATAAAAGAAATTGTTATTCTTTTTAATGGTTTCCTGATTGTTTCCGATTCTTTTTAATTGACTTGGTCGCTTTTGCTCTTCTATCATCTCCTGTAGATGTATGCATAGTGTTGTGGAAAATGCACCAACTAAACTATTTAATTTTACAAGTTATCCGCCCGAGTGGCTTCAAATCTCAAGTGAGCATGTGTATGTAAGATATAATCTAAGTATCGATCCTTTCTTCCCACAAAAGATTGTGACCAACTTAAGGATGTGACCAGCGTAAGGTTGTCGCAGAAAGGAAATTAATATATTTACTGTTTCGATAATTAATATAAAAAATAATATTATATTTTATTATCATTTAAGATTCATGAAAATATTAAAATAAATGGAAAAAAATATTGCTGAAGCAGAATGTACACAGCGGGAAGTTCGTTCCTTCTTAACGGCTCGTGATCCAAGCATTGATCGACGTTGTAGAGCAAGTCCACAGCAAAAAATAGCGCTTTTTCATGATATCAAGGAAGAAGATGACGACTGTGAAATTGATTCTTCCTTGGATGATACTAGTGATCTTGCTAGTGCAGACGGAATTAGTGAAACCGCTAGCTCAAGCGCCAACCCGTCGAATGAAGTGGGAGCATCCGTCTATCTAAGGCTGCGTCCAGTAGATTGTCCGACTTCAACGTTTGCTATTTCTAAGGAAGGAAATGTTTTGATTTGCTCCCCACCTCATGAAGCAACAAATTTAAATAAGAATTCGGCGGAGAAGCACTACAGTTTTACAGATATACTCGATTCACACGTTAGTCAATATGAATTGTACGAAAAGTGTATTGGGCAGAAAATAATCGCGGAAGAAAGTTTTACCGTTCTAACGTACGGAATTTCAGGATCAGGCAAAACGTTTACATTACTTGGCGATGATCATCGGCCTGGAATAATACCTCGCTCCCTTGAAAATGTATTTTTCTTATATGAAGGTCAAATATATCCACATCCTTCCGTTAAACTTATCAACGGGCACATAACAATTTTGGAAGATAGTGCGACTGGTAAAGAAAATTTAATGCGGAAAAAGATATTGGCACAAAACTTAGAGCTTTAAAGCCAGCACAAAAGTTTCCAACAGTGTATACGGAACGAGCATCGTTTCCCGAAAGGCCCCATTGACCATGCTCACGTATTAATTTGGGTAACCTTCGTCGAGATTTACAATGAACAAGTTCACGATCTATTAGATAGCGATGCTTCTGAATATGGTGTGCAGCCAAATGCTTCTAGGAAAAATTTGAAAATAATTTGCAATGACGGCCGCGTGTTTATTAAGTCTGCAACATCGGTCTGTGTAAAAAGTAGCTTGGAAGCATTGAAATTATTGCGTTATGGTCAGAAAAAGTTGACATATGCATCAACTTTAATAAATGCGAGCTCCAGTCGATCCCATTGCATCTTTCTGCTGGATGTATTAAAATATTATACAGGTAATGTAATATCCAATTTTACACTTATGTTTACTTAAAATTCCAAGAATTTTAATTCACAAATGAAGTCACCGCCGATTTTGTGATGGCACATTAACGATAATTCGATAACATCGCACTTTACACTTGAATTTGTTATAAAAACGTTTTCCTATTCAACTCGCGCCGTTGAGAAATATTTTTTTTTAACTTGTGGAAAAACTGTAAATTTATCATAATAAATTTTGGGGACAGTGCCCCGATTTTTGCTGAGGATTGAATCCAAAATCTCTGTGCCATATTATATGATTCATTTTTTGTGCGTCCACTACTACGTACGAATTAGACTTATATGGTTTTAATATTTAATATTTAAATCCATTGATAGCAATGAACAAGACCACGCAGGAACTTGTCGACTTTCCAAGTATGACAAGTTACTCAATTTTCAATGTTTTATATTCACGTTTTTAATATCAATTCAATTTAACTTTGCCGAAACGAATACGCGTCCAAATATTGCCTAGCTTTTTTTAAGCCTAATACCTAAATTTTCCAGAAATTAATGAAAGAAAAAAAATGTTTTTTGAAGTTTCACAATCAAAACCTTCATTTAGAGTCCGTATTACATAAGGCGTAACGACGAATTACAACGATTAGTGAAATTAAAGATAAGTGAATAAATTAATTAGTCATCTAATTGTAACGATGTTACTTACCAGAAATAGTTATTATATATAAGAAAATTTATTGGGAAAAGTGAAAGCCCCTGCATTCCGCATTGAATAAAAGACAGCGAAAACTTCTATACACAAGCGCTGGGGTAATTAATTATTAATAATAATAATAATAATAAAAACAAAGTTACACCTCAAGAGCAGTTCACTATCTATTAGTAATCCGTAAAGACTGAAGAATAATTCATCGACACTCAGCTTTATATTTACAGAACCAACTAAAAGCAAGTGCTTATCAAAAATCGAATAACGGAAAAAATACAGTTTAATTTTCCATGGCCATGCTTCATAAATTCGTAGACGGCATGCGATCCGTGGGTATGAGCGCTGCGTATATGATATAATAAACGTAGAGTAAAAGGAAACTACACTTTTGAGTATGAAGTTTTAGTAAAGAATATTTTGTGCAAGGCGCCGCCAGATAAAGTGCGGTTTTTGCTGCCGCCCAACGAAGCGAAATAGGAAAAACTGCGCCGTCCTTAACGTTTAACAAAATATTCTATTATATGTATATAAGTACGATTTTAAGTGATTTTAACATTTTTTTTTATTATTTGTTCATTTTCTTTTCAGGTTATTTATTATTATTGTATTATTATATTATTATTATAGTGCTATTTTATTATAATTTCATTTTACCATATTATTATTATTATTATAGTATTTATATCAACGGCCTACATACCGCTCCTTATTTTTGGCAAACAGTTATTTAAATATCTTAGGTCTTAACAGACGACTAGTGGTGTGCAAAGCCCCGCGAATGTTAATAATGTATATATAGACAGTGATAATATAAATAGAATAGATAATTACAGCATATACGACGAGGGAACATCAACCTTCGCGGAGGCACGGCAGAGGTTGAAAAAACGGCAGCTCAATCAACATGAAGTCCAGATCCAAACAGCAGATGAACATGTAGTCCAGGAGGAACATGTAGTCCAGTAAACGTAATGCGTGATACATATGTTAAATTCAATGCTAGCTTATATTACGTTTATATATTTATGTTATGTACCTTATGTTAACTTATATCTATATTATGCACATTTATATTATACTTTTATATTATATTATTATTATTTTATATTATTTTTGTAAATGTAATGCATGATACATATGTTAAATTCAATGCTAATCTGATAATTAACATAATTTTATATATTTATTTCACATAAATAATATAATTAGTATAATTGTAGAATAAGTATTTAAAGGTGTAGGCCTAAAGGGGAGCCAGCCATTTCAAACAATTGGTAACGCGCCTATCACGGTACCTCATGGGTGGCGTGGAAAACTGTAATAATAATTGAAATATATTATTGTATATATATATATATTATTTAAAAACAAGTCTACCAGGCCAAAATACGTACTGGTATTATTCCTTTAAGCGATGCCGGTGACTCAGGTTAATATTCGAATACAAGTTGAAATAATTGAACGAGCTCATACATGCAATAGAGAATGCAAATGCGAATGGTTTATGTAAATCGTCTAAATACAGCGGAATCTATTATCATTTCGATTTCTGTATTGGCAATGAACCAAATTCTCCCGTTGAAAACTTACGTCAGGTAGTTTTTGGCGAACGTGTACGTCCGCGGTCATATAAAATAAACTTTTTCGAAAATATTAGTTGCAAAATGGTAAGTAACTCAACTATTAATTTAATAAGTGCATAAAGTTTCTCATATGAAATAACAAAATTCTTAAGGCTCTGACCACTCTGAGGCGAAGTTCACCTTCCCAAGTCTGATAGAAATTACAAGTAATGTTTATGTTCTATAAAATTTATCATTTTTGTATTTATTATACATATATATTATTACATATATATTTTTATATACGATTAGGGGTTTGGAGAAATCATCAATCAAGGTCATCAAGACTTGAACCAAATAAATAAATTTATTTCAAATCCAGACAAAAATTTTCTTTTCTTTTATAATTACGGACTATAAATATTGGCGATCAGAGTAATGCATTGGAAGTAAATGATAATGCTGAAAAAGCGTTCGAGAGAGATAAAGATGACAGACGGTAAGCTTAATTTTATTTAAATCTTGGCTTGTTGTGCCAAATCAGGTCAACACGCTGGTAATATCTTTTATCGAAGAGTCTTCAGCCGTTGTAAGCCGACAAAAAAAGTATGAAAATCATCGATCTGAATATGGTGTCTTATAATAAGAAAGCAAGACGAAAGAAGACATGAAGAAGCTCTAGCCGCGCGAACTGTTTTCAGTTAGATTTCAGTAAAGGTCTACAATGCGGTTGGGAGGCATTTTTCTGCAACATTCGAGTGGAGGATGTAGTAATGTACAATGGCCGTTTTATACCCTGTGGACGCTTAATGTTATCTATACAACGCCTGCAATCTCGGAGGTTTCCGTAGAAAAAACGTACACGTCCCTTCGTCTAGCAAAAAGGATTTCATTTAATTTTGGATGAGTGTCCAAAGAATGTACTACACCTCCGGTTTTACCTGAAATTAAATTGTTCTCTAAAAAATTTTCAAGTATCCATTATCAAATTCATACTTATTTGAAGTTTTTGAAGAACTTTTCCCTCTAACAAGTCCCAAATAATAGCGTCACCTTCACTGCTGCCCGACAAAATGTGCGTGTCGTTTGCCATAATACCGCATTCAATATGATAGTCTTCAGCTTTATGGCCTTTATATTCTGATAACAAATTGCCCGATTCACCATCAAGAAGACGTACTGTGCTATCTTGACATGCCACCAACAGACATTGTTCGTCACCCGTCATATTCATATATGTAATAGGCACATTAACTTTATCAAGGATCATTTCACCAGCACGTATATCGTAGTGTCGTATACAGCCATCCAGTGAGGAGGCAATAATCATATGATCATTACTAACTACTGAACTAATGCAATCTTTAGCCTCACGCATCATTTGTACTGGCTCCAAACGCCTTGTACGAATATCCCAGCAGAATACCGCATTATCACGTCCTCCCGAAATAGCTATGGAAGAGTCTTCGTTAAAACACACACATTTTACTCCACCAGCGTGGCCACGTAAGCGTCTGATAGGCCTTCCAGCGCTAACATCCCAGTATATTATACTTTTGTCGAGACTAGACGAAAGGATATTACTACTATCGCAACTGCCTACTACATCAGTAACTTCATCGGCATGTCCACCGTAAGTCTTAAGTAAAAGACCAGTCTTATGATTCCATAATTTGATCTTTTTATCTGAGCCGCAAGTCAAACAATACGCGCCATCGACTAAAAAAGGCAAATAAGAAATAACAAATAATTTCAACAATGATTAAAGGTAAACACAATTATACCGTTATATCTTACCGCCCTTACAGCTCCCTGTTTGCAATCAATCACTTTTAAACAATGAAATTTCTCAAAATTATTAGGCATCTTTTCCTAATTAAATAATATCTTGTAATTGTTTCTTTACCAAAATCTACCGCAAGTAACACTTCTTTATTTTTGTATTTGCATTGAAACTCGCTGTGCTCGAGGTGTTATGCGAAATTGAATGGAACAAATATTTCTACTCTTCTTCTTATAAGTAGATTTACTTTTTAATTAACTAGTTTGCAGCTGATTATTTTAAAGGAAAATAAAAGGAAGAAACACTTATCGGGTTTATCGTAATTACTTGACTCATTTGAAGTACATTGAAGAAGGCTGGAAGGTCATATGCTGTTGTCATTCCTTCTGAATGTATAAAACAGTAGAAAAGAAGCAACTCCCGTTTGTAAGAATTTTAAGAAAACTTCAAAACAAACTCTTAAAAATGATCTTTATCAACTGGGTGTTCTTAACCCGAAAACGAAAGTGAAGCCTGCTTGTGTAAAAACTTTTTCAATACATTCTTTTGAAAAAATCCCTGTTTCTGTAGGTATATCTTTATATCTAAAATGTTGGAATTCTAGAAATAGATATGGTCATTCTCTGGGTAATCTGGCTAGTTTTTAAGATATCATTGAAGGAATTGCTTCCTTTTTTATTTAAGACTAGAAATAAACTAAAACTAAAGCATGTTACTAGTTCACGCCGACTGCGAAGCTCAAAAACTTGTTAGGCCTTTGTATATACAAATTTCAAAGTTTGAAAAGCGTGTAAAGCTTTAATGTGTTGTGACCTTAGTAGTGAACACATACACAGTGTAAAGCTTAGGACAATCTTTACATAAATAATATATCGAAACATTATGTGATAATATAATTTTGCGAACTAGGCAATAATTAATTACCAGACTTTCTCTGACGTTGACTGTTATAAATAATTTAATAAAAATCATGTAAGAAATGAATGATATATGGTAGCCGATCATAAATATCCGATTTCTTTAAATTTCCTTAAGGGATAGTCAAATCGATGATTCCAATAATAAAATGGAGAATGCAATTGTTGAAGATGAAGACATAACAGCGGCCTTGGGAGCTATGAATTTAACAATTGGTGATCAAATCCAAGAATTAAGCAAACGTTTGAATAGTATAAACGAGGAATTGCACCAACAAGTACGAGAAAAGCATGGAGCTTTATTACAACAAGCTAGTCATGCCGGCCGTTTTGATGCAGATCTTAATAATTTAGCAGAAGATGTTCAACAGATTAAATCGTCTGGTTATAAGCTAAAAAGTCAAGTAGATCAGCAATATCAATTGATTGAAAATCAATCTAAAGTTTTATCGCGTCTTCATGAGTTGTCGCATTTGTTACGCTCATCGAAAACTTTGTTGATTTTGACGATGAAATTGAGAAATACTAAAGATGTCTTGAAGCAGGCAGAATTGCATTTTGAATTGAATGAGTTAATAGAAGATCCAGGACTTAAGAATATTGAATTTGTGCAAGATGCTCGGGCATATGCAATTAATTCTCGACAGAAGATTCGTAATTTAACTCAAATGCAATTAATTACGGGTTTACAAGAGAAGAATGAGCCACAGATAGTGTATGCTCTAAAGGTTTGTATATTTTTATCATTGGAACTCGTTTATTAATTACATATTGTACAATGTGCGTAACTAAGGTATTATTTACATATCTTTCTTCAAAATCGTTGCGACATGAAAAGTTTCATTTGTTTTCATTTGTAGGTTTTCATGAATTTTAATACTTTGGAGACATCATTGGATAATTTACTTACGACTTTTATAGCTAATCTTGAACAATCTTTAAAGGAATGTTTTGCTGGAAATGATATATCTGTCCTATGCAAAGCGGAAGCTACTAAATCATTAAGTGTATCTAAAAATGTCGCATCCAGTTTACGAGGTCCAGGTAAAGCCCCCCAACTGACTACCACGCAAAATTTTAGAGCGAAATTTTGGAAGTCGATGCATTGGTTAATTTACGACGAACTCTACGAATGCTGTGTGCAAATGCAATTGCTGAGAAAAGCTCTTGAACAAGTGCAGCATTTAGGATCTGGTGCAAGTAATCCAGAGCAATTCATACAAAGTGGTTTTTGGCAAGCTGTACAAAAATTATTGAAAAAATCTTTTTCCGAATGTCCAGCGCATATTAATCAAATTCTACAGGAAGGATTGTCGAAATTATTGAGTTCAGTGCGTGGCTTGGAGTTGCGTTTAAATGGAAAATTTTTGTTTGACGAAGAATTGTTTACGCCTTTGGAAGTGGGTTATGTGAACAAATGCGCAAATAACATGAAGGCGTGTTTAGCCGGCATCGACTTGCCGAGCAATGATAACATCGATTCTTTCATACGTGTTGCCTCGGCAGAGCTCAGTTCATCATTAGTAGATAGCCGATTGGGAAATGCCGTAGCTGGGGTGTTTATTTCTTGTACTAAAGATTTTTACACAAAATTAGAAACACAAATAAAACTTGGACCGGATTCAGTGCAAGTCGTTGATATACCAAACGTTCATCAAATACAAAATACTTTATTGGCCAATATATTGTACTACTTTAAAGATTCCACGAAACGCATGTTACGAGATTTGGGTGAACAGTGCGGTAAAAGCAAATCATCTGCCCGAGATGACATTACTAAAGCACTGAATCAAATCGATTTGCTGATATATACCATTTTGCAACAAATCATGGACTCCATAGTGTCAACTTTGAATATAATAATTCTCAGCATACATCGTGAACCTGGATTGAATAGCGAGAAAATATCCGCATCTGGCCCATCTATGTATATGAAAGAATTGCAAGAGTTTATCAACCGAGCTTGGTCCAATCACATTGCTCCGTTTGAAGACAAAGACATTGTTACCAAATGTGGTCATGAAGTGGCGAAACGTTGTATTGAATTCTTCATTCATAATCTAAGTATATTAAGACCTGTCAGTCAAATGGGAAGGCAACGTTTGAAAAACGATTGCTTGTATATGGAAAGTGCATTAAAACCTCTATGCCCCAATATTTCAACATTGGGAAATTCTGCACGCTTACTCAGAGCAATGTCATTCTTAATCGTCTTAACACCTGATGAATTGGTAAAACAAAATGTTGGCGAAGACTCATTGGTGCCATCGTATATAATTTTACTATTAATGTTTGGACACGCAGACGCTGTAATGCAATCTCCTCATACTACAGTTAATTGGTCTAATGAGCGGCTAATTGAATGGCTTGAGGGTCATACCAACGAGAGGGAAAAATTAGAACTAATTGCCGGAGCATTACAGCGTTATCGCGATAGCGTAAGACGTAAGAAAAGTGAACAATATGATCCCGTTTATCCTTTAATGGTAGAATTTTTCGAAAAGGCTTCTAAAAGTGATATTTAAAGAAAAGTATTTCCTATGCATTTTTTTTTTTAAATTGCCTCCTGAAAGGAGGAGTAAGTTACATTATTTTTAAAAGTTTTATGAAACGCTTTAAATAAAATAAAAAAAAAAGGAAAAAACCTTAAAATATCGATCAAATTGTTCTGATACCGTCAAAAAAGGACCAGCGCGGCATAAACGTAAGGAAAATTAATTAAGTTTTCTTTTAGTTTTTATATTTTACGCAATTACTCATAAGAGTCTGTAGTCTATTTTCAGGAACACAATCAAGGCTTTCAAGGTCACTAACTTTTCCCGATCTAATCGGGACGTATTTAGTTAATATCAATTTGGTATAATTTTATTCTTTTAATCACTTACTGTCTCTTTGTTTGCTTGGGATGAGTCCAATAAACACACAAACGTTCACAAACTTAAGAAAAATATTTATACGAGATCTAACGGCTATTTATATAGAGTGAGATATATATAAAAAGCTTAAAGTTATATAAATTGTATTTGAATCAACAATTGCAAATAATAAATAAAAAAAAAAAAGGGTTAAAAAAATTAATAAAATTGCATTAATACCGTCAAAAATTGCCTGAACAGCACTTAAAAACATATGGAAAGTTAATGAGATTTTTCAAACAATTCTTCCTCCATTTCTAGATTTTTAATGTCCCAGTTAGAGATGAACCCAAATTGGTACCTAACTCTTGTAACATGCCAATAAATTGGCGATTTTCTTTCATTAAAGCCATAATCTCCTCTTGTTGCTGTTGCATAAACTATAAAACGATTTAAAAACTTTATTATAAAACTCGACTTTAGGTATTTTATTCCGCTTACCCTTAAGCGATTTTTTTGCTCAATTTTCAATAACTGATTACTGTTGTTAAACAATTTGGCATCCATATCCTTTTGTATATCACTCTTGATTTTATATAGATCTTCCTTTAAGATGTCCAAGTTTCGTTCATATTCTCGGACATCTTTTTCTAAAATTTCACTCTTTAAGTAAACGGTTTGAGCCAGTTTGTACCAATCAGCTAAACATTCAGCCATTTGTGCAACCGATGGCTTCACATCATCCAAAAGTAAAGACTTTATTCGTTTACCGTTACGATCGACCTTGGGAAACAGAAAATCATTGTTTATAAATAGGATTTCAAGCTAACAAAATTCATTGATTTACTTTAATCTTTTCCAAAGCATGAAATTGTTCATCATTATACGTTAAAGTGCGTGTGGCGCGATCGCGTAATAAGTGCTGCCAAGAATCTCTTAAACGTTCAATTAAATATTTTGCTTGAGCGCTCGCTCTAGTCCGGCATGGACAATGTTTGCCATGCATCGCTGAAGACCATTGATCGCTGCAAAAATATTTTAATTTAACGTATATTTCTCATGTACATGACACACTCTATACACACATATCCATGAATGATATTTTTGCCTGAATCTTCTAAATCATGTAATGTTAATGTCAATGATTACATTTCTTCGGAAAAAGTACATTGATAAGATTCTTTAAGAGTGAAGATTTTGGATTAGAAGACAGGAAGTTGGTAGTAAAAGTTGAAAGAGGAAAATCGGGAATAATACTGACTGAAATCGAAAACTACAAATCCAAATACTAGCCAAACCAACCAACCAAAATCTAGCGGATGAAGGCGAGGACGACCTATCATTGCGGCAAATACCTAATAAAATATAACTATCTCCAGCATATGATCAAAGAATTAAACTGTGATTTACTCTCCCGTACATATATAAACTTTTGATTATCGATCATTTCAATTGATGACTACCTGAGGACGATCTTCTTAGTGATCTCTCGACCCCCCACATAATTAAAGAGTGACTAGTAATAGTTAATATTCGGAATCATTATTTTGTAACCATATCATCGCATTGGAGATGCATGTTTTGCACATTCCTATTGCCTATCTTATCGATTGGTCAGAAATTTCGAAATTAGTTTAATGCTGAGAACATCCTTTTTCTATTTTCTAAAAAGTTTCAATCAAGTACTCGCTTTGAATATCTGTATATAAATGTGTGTCAGCTTTAGAACACAGATATTAGCTATTCCATTAGAAGACTGTATTACTTACTTTAATTGATCACCCATTACGAAATTGGTATGCAACTGCATAATCACATCAGCTGCGCCTTCAAATTCAGTTCTCAATTTTTCCAATTTATATATTAATGGATTAAGTTCCTCCTCACCTTTAGTCTGCAAACATTAGATAAAAGTGAAAAGTAATATTTTTATCGTCGCATATTAATTGATATTTCTTTGTAAATCCTATATATAACATCTTTTTTTTTTCGATAGACCTTTATTTAAATGAACTAAGAAGGTCGAAATTTATTTCTATCCATTATCCTCGCTTAAATAAAATCTTATTCCAGAAAAAAAAATTTTTTTTTTATTTATGATTATTTATTTTCTAAAAGCCTAAATTCTGTTGATTTACGTGCATACTTCATTACTGCCAGATTTCTTCCCAATTAACTTTGTATAAGCCATCCCTTCTATTTGGATGAGTTTTAATGATTTCATTCGACTTAGCTTGACCCAGGTGCTATTGTATTGTCGCCACAATTTAGGACAAATTGAATCGATTCAAAATACAATCCTAAATTGGTATATTAAGAGTTAAGTCTATCTTAAGTCCATGTAAATATTGCATAAATCCGAAACCTAGTAGAGCTTATAGCACTAGTGTACCCCTAAGCGTACAAAAATTGCAGAAAGTTATTATTGCACACATAAGACTATAGAATCGTTTCCAATTCAATCTTAATTACAACAAAACAAGTAAGAGCATCACAGTAGAACACAGCTCACCGTTGAATACCCTACACATCTTCGCTTAGTGCAGTTAGGAATAGAGCAACTTTTCAAAATAGAGAATTATGTTGAGTAGCTTTCGCCTTTCTTTGGCCAACGGGATGTTCAACAGACAACACAAATTTCATGAAAATATCTCAAAAATTACGACCTGTAGGTTGAATATAAGATGGAAAGATGGACAGACAAGCTTAGATCGATTCGCAAAGTGTTAACTTAAAAGCTAAGTTACTCGATCGGTATAATGAAAGGTGAACCTACCTCAAGGCCTTCTGAGTGTTCCATACATTCGTAGGAATTTAATAAACTCTACACAACGTGGAGTAAGATATGAAAATATACTTCAAAATGTAAAAGAAATTATGAAAACGAAAATCAATGCGTATTTAATGGGTACTACGGGAAGCCTCTCCTTGTGCTCTATGATCAATTTTCGTTTAATGATTTCCACATTTTTACAATGCTAATAAAGAAAAACCTTGATAACGTTGAGTATTTATGGTCTGTCACGACTACATTCATTATGCTCTGGAATATCTCTGTTAAATATCAAATAAATGATCTTATGAATGAATACTAAATTTCTTTCCTTTTTTATATGCTATGGTATCTTATCTTAACATATTTATTTTTGTTATCTCTCGCATACTTTTTCATTATGGCTTTTAATATATTTTCGGAATATGGGCGAAGCAACAAAGTATTTATTTAATTTTAATTTGATAAAATTTTATATAAATAACTGTTATAAGTTTTTGGGTACAGTTTTTTGCTCACTGTTAGCAAGTTTCTGAATAGGTAACAATAATTTGTAGACTTGGGAGAAATATTTACACGGCTTGCTCCCTCTTCTTGGTGACGTATATAAGCAAGTAAGAAAATTATATTCAATTTTTTTTTTTATCGACACCTAACCTGAGTCAAATCGATCAAAAGGCACGTAGAGCGCGTATTGGGAATGCTTACGTTTTCAAAAGCATCTTTATTACTCATAAATACCCATAAAAATTTGTATATTCTATATTTTAAGCTAAAGATGGTGGCAAATAAGAATAGGTAACGTAGCAAATATATACATATAAATATACTTTTGTTACCTATTTGCTCTTGAAAACAGAGGTGATCTCAATCTTTGTTCTACTGCGGGCGTATTCGTTAACCAAGTTGTCCCATTTTCAATACCAATCTTCGTGCAACCACCTTTACTGCTTTTGTCGATTTTGAAATTATCATTTTCATATTTGCGAATATTTTACAGACGGACAAGCTTAAATCGACTGCAAATTTGATGCGTTTGATATGATCTGCGAATAGTTTTTCTGAATGTTGCAAGCGTTTTGATTAAATCAATACGCCCCAAACAAAACCAATTAAATGTTTAGCGTCTTTGTTTCCTTAAGAGACTGTTTCTATTAAAGCAGACAACCAAATATCTTCTTGACTAATTGACAAATCGGTGTGGATAAGCCTCCATTAAAACTTTTACTTACCATTTTAGACATACATTTCACAGCGTCTACGTATTCTATCACTGTTGAAATTAGTTTATCAAAATTTTTTGTTTTTCTAAAAGTTGAAAATCGCTCAGTTTGACGATAAAGGTTCAAATGTTGAAAAGACTTACTTTATTAATAGCGTTATTGTAGTGGTTAGTGTCTCTATAAATTGCGCCACTGCCTTCTTGATCAAAATATCTATGGTGGTAAACGTATCCACACGCCTTTTACATTCGTGACCAACACTGCAGGCAGCCTGAAAATATAATAGCTTCCAATTTCTCTTTTCTTAACTTACGTTTTGCTTACCTTAGCTAAACTGGCATCATTTTCTACCGAAACATTGTTCGGGAACACCGGAAATTTGGGCAGATCCAATTGCTGCGGCAATTGTACGTTATTATCTTCGTTGCTATAAAGGAATATCGGATTTTCCGTGTACGTCGCTGGAAATGCCTTAGCTACGAAAGGAATAATAAGCCTTTTTAACTTACATTATTATTATTATAATTACCAATGGTATGCGGAGTAACTTTTTTTTCTAAATGTTCATTATTGAATAATAGTATCTGTCTTTCCATTGGAACTTTGGTCTGCATTAAAATTCTCTCGCGAAAATGTTCAATTAATTCTTCAGGTTCTAAAAAGATTTCCACCGAACTGGTGCGGTTCGTATAGAACACGTGTATTACTCGCTTACGCAAAATATTTGTAACCTCTTGAAAGAAACGATCGAAAGACCAAGTTTTTTCCCGGTTCTCTTCAAGTAAACCGGCTAACAGTGGAGTAACCAATGTTTTTAATCCTTCGGAAAGATGACAATGTGCGGGTAAAGTTGTAGACCATTCAATTGGTCCATTTTCAGACAATTGGGTTCCAGATATAACACCTGAAGCTTTTTTGGTAGTAATTTGATGCATCGTTTCACGATTTTTACGACCGCCGTAGGGACGAAATGGTAAGTTTCCTGTAGCTACATGGTATAAGGTGACACCGATAGACCACAAATCCACATTGGCCGTAAAGGAACGGTTAATGGATTTCCTTAACACGGCTCGTTCATAGAGATCGGGATGCAAATATTCTTCGGTGCCATATAATGAGGCAAATGGCTGATTATCTTCAAGTTCTCGCGCAGCACCGAAATCCGTAAGTTTGTATATAGTGTGGCCGTCCTCCGAAATGAATTTCATTATGTTTCCGGGCTTTAAATCACGATGTACCAATTTATTATCTCTTAAATGTTTCATACCCGCGCATAAATGCTCTAAGACCAAAAGGAATTCTTTTTCAGGTAAACCATATGAATTCTCAGGATCGTCTAGTATATTAAATAAGCTACCACCAGTACAAAGCTCCATCACAATAACTTTTCCACGGCCCTCTTGATCTTCTTCGATGGCCAGCAATTTAACAATATTCTCATGATTGACTTTTTTTAAAGCTTCGAATTCGCGCATTTGAACATCTGGCGGTCGCATATGACTGTACGGATTGAATGTTTTAACAGCCACAGATTCACCAGTTATTTTATTAACGCCCTACAAAGAAACATATTAAAATGAAAGGAATGTAAAAAGGGAGTAAAATGTCACATTCACCTGAAAAACTGAACCAGTGGCTCCTTTACCTAATACGCTAGTGGTACACCAAACATAATTTAAGGACCCTCTTAAAAAAGACATTTTTCTTTCTTTTGGCAATTTTTTAGGCACTTCTAATTTTCAATTGATAGCTGTGGGAATACCCAGATAGATGCATAAGAAAAAAATTAAAAACTGATTATCTGCTAAAAGCACTATTAAATTATAATTTTCTTTTCTTTTTTTTGAATGCTGGATTAATATGGACCATTAATTTGTGGCTTTTATGGCCAAATTAAAATTTTCAATCTCAAACAAAATATTAAGGAAAATATTTTCTTAATGCGTTTGCAGTATACTTCACAGTTGTAGTAAAATAAAAGAACAGTGTTTCCATGTACATTCAAACGGACAATGCACATAAGAGAGAACATAGGCTTTTTTTTCCTTAGACATGGGAATTAACTTTGCACAAATTGAAAGCAATGTATACGAATTTTTGAAAGCAATCAAGCAACATTGTGTTCGACTTTACTTTCAATATATTCAGCTTACGGAGAACACACACTGAGTTTTGAATGATTTTTTTAAAAGACAAATAAAGTTGAAGCCATTGAAAACAATGAATACGAATTAAACACATTTAAACAAAAAAAGAAATTATTCCTGATTGTGTTAACGACCTAAGCATTATTCTAACGGAAATTTATTAAAATTAAAAGAAGAACCGATGGACCATTTAATAAGAGCAAAAATGTATATTCACCGTTTATTATCAAATATCGTATATCGAATAAACAGATTTGACTTCGTTTTTTGTGCATATAGAAAAGTCGGAATTTCTGCTTAATCTTTTTTTCCTAATTCTTAGGATCCACAGCACATTTCATTGACATATAACATTGAATACAAATTTACACATAATTTAAATAATCTTTTAATAGGTTTTATCAACAAATGTTAATAATTTAAAAACTTTGCGGCAAAACGTTATTAAAAGAAAATAAAATCCACCTAGTTAACACTTGTTTTATGAATACATAAATTATTTATAAGAATATACATAAACACACAAAATCTCGTTTTGTAGATATGAAAATTGTTAGAGCAGAAAAAGATGAGGCAGACATGATCTTAGCTCTACGTCGAGATGAGTGAATAAACCATACTGTAACGAGATCATGAAAATATAGAGAAAAGTAGAAAAAATTAAGAAAACTAGTGTATAATTATATTGCAACTAAAATATTAAAATTAATTACCCATATATGTAGTAGAAGAATGATATTAAATAAATAGCCAATTTAATCCAACCTTCACGAATATTTTTAGTTAAGTTATCTGAAGCCAAAACTGTGGTGGGATCATATAAACCTGGTCCCGTCATAACAGGTCGGTTTTTATAGCTTTGAAAAAAGAAAATTTAAAAAGCAATGAATTCATTTATCATTTTAGCTTATAATCGACATACCGCCAAATGTGATAAGCTATAAGTGGTATATTAATACATAGCGAAAACCATTCCCCACATGCCAGAAAAAGGATATTTAAAAAGATGTGAAGCAAATATTCCGGTAAAACCAACTAAAATATATTTTCCTTCATGTTAATAGTTATTTGCATTCGCTGGTTCCCTTTATTCTTACCGGATTGAGGCTATTGCACTGATCTATAGGGTTCTTGTAATCCGTTTTTAATTCATCAAAAGCAATTACGTGAAATATTGCAAAGAATATTAAGAAGGCATCCCCTATTAAAGCTACAATGTAACTAAATGCCGTAAAATTGAAAGCCATTGTGTGCAAGGGCGGGTGCAATAGAAGTTAACTAGTAGGTTTTTTCACAAAAAACTGCAAATACAGAAAGAAGTTTTAACCAAATTGTTATTTTATGAATTAATATATGTTAAACTTACTTCCTTGTTTAACTCTTCAAAATTTTTCCTTAATTCTCCTCTTTTAGAGGTTTTTTAGGAGTTTTCTGTTGTCACAAAAGCAGTGTTGCCAGACTACAAACATTTATATATTTTTTATGCAGCCTAGTTTAACAATTCTTTATAGTTCTTTATGGTTATGTATATTTTCCCTAATAATATTCCTAGGAAGGTAGAAATGTATGAAAAACAGATCCATTTGATTGCAAATGCAAAATGCAAATATATTGCAGTTATAATCACAAGTGTTAAGTCTAGAATATAGGTTTTACTATTTGTTCGATCTTATTGGCAATAAATTTTCAAACTGGAATTATCTGAATTAACGTCAATTTGCATCTAATACGTAGAACGAGAAAATTGCAGTATTTCAATGAAAATAAAAAAATAAGATGTGGTAACAACGTTTTTCGCCGGTTTCTCTTATTGTTAAAATCGGAAAGTCAATTTTTTATAACTATACAATTTACATTTTTAATTTAAACTTAGTAAAATAGTAATAATAAAACGGCAACATATTCAAATACTCATCGTAAAAGAAAAGTTGAAAGCCCACCTTGCAAAATATAATGCTGCGGAATAAAATTTTAGTACGATGCTTTAAGGTGATGTTAATTTTCACAATAACAAGAAGTGCTTTTTGTGACGTGCCAAGACCGCGGGGAGTTTCATTAATGAATGCTTCTCTCTATTATCCACGTGACGAGAAATGGGTTTGCCTAGATGGAAGCAAAACTATAAATTTTCTGCAAATTAATGATGATTACTGTGACTGTGCCGATGGTAGTGATGAGCCTGGCACGGCTGCTTGCCCGGAAGGAACATTCCATTGTGATAACAGAGGTTACCGCTATAAGTATATTCCCAGTTCTCGCGTTAATGATGGTATCTGTGATTGCTGCGATGCTAGTGATGAGTACAGTTATCCAGACACTCAATGCGTAAATACGTGCGCGGCATTAGGTCGCGCCGAACAAGAATTGCGCAAAAGAGCTGCAGAAATACATAGACAAGGGTCTGCGAAACGTTCAGAAATGATAACAAAAGGCAAACAGTTAAGAGCCGAAAGAGAAAAACGACGTTCGGATCTGGAAGTACAACGTCAACAGCAAGAAACCCTAAGAAATGAAAAAGAAGAAATTAAAAAACAAGCTGAGCAAGCAGAAAATGAAGCTATAGACTTGTTTAAAGAACTACAAAGAGAAAAGGAAAGTGATTTCTCCACTACAGAGGCATCCTTGCGAAAGGACGCTACCGAGAATTTCTTACGTTACGATGTGAACAAAGATGATTTCGTGGATATAGTTGAATTGCAATTAGATATTGCCTTAGATCAAGATCGAAATGGGGTCGTAACAGTTGAAGAAGCCAAATACTTTTTAGATGAGCGCGACCGCGTTGATTTGCAAGCTTTTATTACTCTGTCTTGGCCCCGTATTAAACCAATGCAAATGTTGTCTCAGGGAATTTTTAAGCCTCCAGTAGACATGAATCCTGAAGTGGAAGAAAAAACCGAAGAAAAACACAGTCATACGTATGAAGAGAGTAAGTTTTTATTAAAATGCCTAATATTATCCTTATCGTATAAACATAGTGAGTCGCGCGCAAAATACAAGGACGGAAAAGCATTAATAATAAAGTATAGCTTCTACGCGGGCTCTTCAAATTTCGATAGAAGACAAACTTTTACATTTGTTCTTTTTTTATTTTTTTTTACATAAGACTTGGTCACGATTACAAAGTGGCGCCTTTCACTCTTAGATTTTGCATTGACGTTTGTCGATTCTGTTTCCAAAAGTGTGCGTATTTCAATACAGTAAAAGAATTGAAATAAAAGGTTACGTAGCGGAATAGCTTGATAATTGAAGGTTGACATTATACATGCGGAATACAAAATTAATCAAGCTCTGAATTTACGTAAAATGACTAGATAAATTATCCAATTTTCCGCCAAAAATAGAAATAGGAGCTGTATAACTGCTGATCATGACGAGGCCTTCGAAAGTATGGTTTGATAGAAATTTTGATGGGTTTAATTTAATTTATTGGTGGATTTTATTCCATTTCAACAATAGATCAGAACAATTAATACAGCTTTGAAGGGCTTCGAAACCATACTGAGACTATCTGTTATCGTTCTTAGAAAAATCGAGAAAAATATTGAATGAATGAATAAAATAAAATTAATATTGTATCTTGTATATATTTATAGCCAAATCTCCTGAATTTAATGAAGATACAGAGCAAGAGTCTGAATACGAGGCTGAGGAAGAGGCGGACGCAGAAGCGGCTTACGAAGAAGACGAACCTAATGTAGGAGTTGGCTCAGTAACAGAAGTTAACACGCCAGCCCCTGAATATGATCCTGAAACCCAACGTTTTATTGATTTAGCAAACGAAGCGCGGAACGCGTACGCTGACGCGGAACGCGAACTGCGTGACATCGATCAAGAGTTAAATGAATTGAAAACCCAAATTGCTAAAGATTATGGACCACAAGATGAGTATTCCACTTTGGAAGGAGAATGTTTTAAATTTGAGGATCGCGAATACGTATACACTTTATGTCCATTCGATAGAACTTCTCAGCAACCAATTGCTGGTGGTACAGAAACGACGTTAGGCCGTTGGGATCAATGGGTGACAGATGGTAAAGACCAATATGCCCAACAAAAGTATTCGCGCGGGGCCTCTTGCTGGAACGGGCCGCAACGCTCAGCAATAGTACAATTTAAATGCGCCTTGGAATCCAAAATTACTGCCGTCAGCGAACCAAATCGTTGTGAATATCATTTTGATTTCGAAACACCGTCTGCTTGCGATGAGGAGACTTTTATGGCAACGGAAAAGCGTTTAAGAGACGAGCTTTAAGATACGATAGCAAAAAGAAAATCAATGTTCAATCTTTTTTTGTTTCATCCGGCAGATGTTCCATACTTGTAAATTTAAAAACTTTTTCATTGTAAAGGAAGTTATTATTTTTATTTATGTATTGTTAAGCTCAAAAATATTTTTTTTTTTTTACTGAAAAACAGAATTTAAGTAAAGTCATTCCTTCGTAAAGAGTGTTGTAATTTGTAAGACTTGATACATTTTGTATGCTATTATTGACTTTTTGTTTTTTTTTTCTATTGTATTGTTGATTTCTCTTTCCGATTCCATTATTACTCTTTTATTGTTCGTTTTTTTTTTTCTGCATATCTTTGTCTCGCATCACTTACTAAACATAGATTATGGAAATAAAAAATAAAATGCAAGAAAACTAAATTGAAACAATAGAAGAAGAAAATATATTTCAGGCTTCTGTTACAGCCAGTTTCATATCCTCTAAATGAGCATCTAACTGATGGTCCAGAGCTAGAATATGGCCAGTATTGCAATTTTCAGCACCGACAAAGGTTAATATCAAAGGCAATTTATTCATTTGAACTACCTGTAAAAATTGGATGGAATTATTAGTTGTAAGTACTGATCAATCAAACAATGCGAAATAATCTGTTAGCTCATCATTGCCTTTGCTGATTTGACTTTAAAAGAAATAAGAAAGCTATGTGTGCCCGGGACCAACTATTATTGGAATATATTTATAACAAATTTCTAATGGAATATCTCATATAGTATTAATGAAAATGGGTTCGAAATTTCGAGTTCCTTAAACAGCTTAATTTTTACCTATCTATTATCACCGAGAGAAGTGACTGTTCGAACATATACTTTTCATTTTTACCCCAAATAGATAAGAAAAAAGGAGAGGAAATTAAACACATTAAAACGCTAGAATTCGTATGCTTTCAATCGGCAAGCGCTTACTAGTTTGAAAAAGTACAATGGAATTTACTACAAATATTTAGTTTACGGGATTAGCTTGTCAGTGAAGCAAAAAACAGAAGAAAGTTGCAACTAAATGTCTACAGAAAGCATTGATGCCTTAAAACCCTAGAATTCGTATGCTTTCAATCGGCAAGTGCTTACTAGTTTGAAAAAGTACAATGGAATTTACTACAAATATTTAGTTTACGGGGTTAACTTGTCAGTGAAGCAAAAAACAGAAGGAAGTTGCAACTAAATGTCTACAGGAAGCATTGATGCTGTGTATTTCCAAAAGCGAAATAAAAACCCGATAAACAAATGGCATAGAACGGACACACCAACTATTAACAAGATTTTGTGTTTGTTTTTTTGAGGTGAATATCCATTTTATCTGAACTAATGCGACCGAAGTATTCGCTTTTTCTACTTTTAACGTATACGATTTAAATACACGTTCCCGACGACATATTTAAACTTGGTCTGATTATTCAAACCAATAACACATATTGTAAATGTTACAAACGAAGTAGTAATAGCAAAAAAAAAAATTCACCTGATAATTTGAATACATGGATATAATAGTTTTATTGCGACCTAAACCCAGTTTTCCGGCCTGATCACTTGCTGTGGTGAATGTTTGTATAAAGGAGGGAGTTAAGGCAAAATTAACGTTTTTATCATGACTGAATTGCATTAAAGGTGCTCCGTCACGATCAGTGATTATAATCAGATGTAGTCCATTTACTCTGATAAAAGGTAAACAATTTGAAAGCAATTCAATAAAAAACTACCAAATTAAGTTTACTTGTTTAAAAGACCATTAAAATACTTTTCCGGCATGTTCAACTTCTTTTTAATTTTTCTACCTTCTTTTTTGTTTTATATAAAATCAAAACTTTGAAAGTGCAATTGATTCATTTTGTGTGTGCATAAATTAAGAGTTGCCATGTCGAGAGAATTTGGTACTTTAGTAAGTACGCAAACAAGTAACGTCTCGTTAGTTTGTGTTGTTTACAATAACTCAGTTTTCTTATTGGCATTGTATGATATTTTTCGATGTGTGCTAAATTTAAAGCAAATGTAAGGATTGGAAAACTTATTCCCGACTTGGCTTAGGTAAATGAGAACTAAATTATGGAATATGTCAATTGGCACTTGAAATTTACAGTACGCACGACTTTTTTTGATATTACACAATTTTTTTCCTTTTTTCTTATTTTAAGGACTAATACTATATATTTATTTTCCAGTTTAGCCCATAAACAAGCGAATTCTATTGTTACCTAATTTTTGAAATTAATATTTAAATGATGATCAAACAAGGGATGTAAAAAGATAAGACATTTGACGACTATTATCTGCTTTCGTTTATCATTCTAAAACTGCAGGAAATCCAATTATATCGTGGAATTTACAAAAGTCTAGATTAACTGCAAATACGTATCGCACATAACCCAAGCATAGTGATATTATTTTTATTTATCTTTGAACATCATTGCAAAATATGCATCAAGGTCAATACAAAATTTGGAAAATAGACATTTTTCAAATCCTTTCTTGTCAGATTGGAAAATTCGGCAAGTTTTTATGAGTTTCCAATAACCAATATAACCGGATAGAATGGAAGAAATAGTTGCTTGGGAAAAACAAAAACCTCTACCTTTAGTTCTGTTTTTAATTTATGTTCTGTCTATTCACAGGTAAACAAACGTAAACATATTCTTCTTTTACCAATAAAGAATATTTTTATTCAACATAATGTTTAAAAATGTTTTGCGATTATTTTACAAATATTAACTTTCCGTTATATTATTTATTTGATTTACAATACATACACGAAATTATGAAATAAAAGAAAATAAGATTGAAGATAAGTGAAGAACCATTTCAAAGGTTCCCATGCGTAAAATAAGACCCAATCATTACTATTATGTTAAAAATATTACAAAGAATATGAAGAAAAATATTAAGACACCGAATATCTTGATCATTAGCCAACGATTTTTCGAAACGGATTGAAAATATTTTAAAATTTCATTGTGTGCTCCTTCAATGTTTAGCTCCGCGTCTTGTATATTCGTATCGATACGCTCCACAATTTCTTCTTGTTCTTTAACCATATAGGCTAATTGCTGGAATATTCCACCCAACTCTACAATAGTAGACTCGATGTTTTGCATTGTTTCGGCTCGCTGTTGAACATAGTCATCCGATTCATCGTACAGAGCGATTTGTTGCTGTGCTTGACTTTGTGGACCTAGTAATGGAGCAGATTCATTAGCTGGTGACATGTCAATGCTGATAGCTTGATTCTCTTCGCTGAGCAGTAACGAGCCCTTTTTAGCTGTAGTTGGCGATATCGAGTTTGCGGCTAATGGTCCATGACCAAATTGATCGCGGCGCGATTTTTGATGTTTCAGATTTTCAGTACGGACTTCGAGAATTTGTTTAAAATCTGTGCTCATGCTTGCTAATTTGGATTGAAGAGCCAAAACCATGTTGGAGGAATGTGAAACCAAATGCCTTCCGTTAACAGTACGTATCTGGTCCTTAGATATCCCCTGAAGTCGAGCAATTTGTTGGTTTAACGCATTCAAATCGCCTTTTATAATATACGTGAGTTCTTGTATTTCCTGTGGTCGATCATCGAATAAACTTTTCTTTTTGGCCACTAGTACACAAACGAAAAATTATAATTGTTAATAGATCAATGATAACTCCAGAATTACTCACATATGGTTAATTTTTCCAATTTAGTATAAGTGCTAGCAATATTTCTGCCAATTAGTTTTGCTACCATCATAAACTCAGAATAACTTTGCACTTGTTTTGCTTTGCGAGGATCACGTATATTAACCGCTCGTGATATATTACGAGATTGTAATGAGCGAATAGCATTATTAAATTCGCTGGTACGATCTCGAGCCGCCATGACTACTATTTCCTCTTTATCAAATGTATCTTCTTCGTCTTCTTCGATCTCAAAATCACTTTTCGGTGAAGGATTTTTAAGGTATTTACTGCTATCGCCGGCAACGTCAACAGGATTTTGATAGCCACGTACTACCACTGCTGCCGCGCTGAGAGGCTGTTGTATGAAATTGCGTAGCACTTGTCCAGATGCCGTTTGTAAACGAGAAGAAATAGACAGTAAATTCCACTGTCGATCGGCCTTGTGGTATTTATCATCTAAGTCGTCCTCAGATATTTTTTGATTTTGAGCTACACCTTCATTAGCGTGTGTGGAAGTTAGTAAGTTTGCGGCTGGAAAGCTATTTTCAAACGATGCAACGAGGGGATCTTGGATATAGCTGTGCTGCTGTGGTAATTGATTATACTGCTGCCCTATTAAAGGATTGCCTTCTTCCTGTGCCCCGGTATTGTCCTGTTGCAATAAACGTCGTCGCGTTTGCATCTCATAGTCTACAACAAGTTTATGGGGCAATTTTTTTTAGTGTTTGTAATTATCGAATAGCTGCGGATGTACACTTTTCTGCTCATAGACGCGGACGTATATATTTACACTATTTCTCTATTAAACACTTTGTTCTTTCTACGTCTTCTTAATGTCCTTATTACAGTCAGAGAATTGCAGTGCAAGAATTCGAAAGGATCAGTATTCAGTTTTTCACAATAACTTCAATTTAATTTAATGGTCTGTTGCAGGTAAGTTTTTTTTCTTGTATATAAGACTTTAATTTTTTCCTATTTGCATTAATTAATCACAAAAACTACAAAAGTTCCGTAGTAATGAAAAATTAAACTAATACACAAACAATTTAATACGTGGTATTCTAACCAACCAGCTGTATTGCCATGAAAAAAATTTCTCCCCATATTTCGGAATATAAAACAATTTGTACATTAAAATTGGGAATATTAAATTTCGACCGAAAACAAAAATTACAAACATTTATTAGTCGACTTGCAAGCGCTTAATTTCGTCATTAATCATTACAAAGCGTTGAATAGATTAAATCCAATTGCATCGTAAAATATGCATTCAGATATTCAAATTTATTTTGGTTGTATGTGCTAACACATAGTTGAGCATGTAGATAGCAGCGCATCACTGCAATTATTGCAGCAATGCAAATACTTGAGAAACTCCATATTTTGGTGCAGAGCAGTGATGTTTTTACATTTCATGATTCTAAAGTGGTCATTTACATTTTTGTCAGAAAAATTTCGTAGCGATATTAAGAATGATAAATTGATGCATTAATTTCTAGTTGCTTCCACGTCATGTGGGGAATAAAACAAAGTTGTTATCTGTTGAGTGTAACATTTACGTTATATTTATATTTAGGACCACTTTTTAGTTCTTTTTTAAATATCTATCTATTGAAATATTACTTTTATACTCTTAAATGATTACTTTGAATTGGATATTATAATACCTAAAATATTAACGATTTTAAAACAATTAAATAAATAATTGTAAAAATGTCTTTTCCAAATTCTCGAAAGAAGCATATATATTAAGCACCTTGTATATCTACAGATGTGATACGATGAATATACCTTATATACCGTGCACAACAGATGTTAGTGTTCCATTTCATTGTCTTGCGTTGAAGACTATTAAGAGCGGTTCATATTAATAAGTAAACTATAGCACATTAAAAGGATTAAATAAAGTATTTATTACATAAATCAGAAAATTGTTCCTAGGATAGCAGTGGAAAATTATTTTGCAGGAAATATTGCGTTAAGCAAACTAAAAAGTTATTAATTATTAGAACGATTTAAGGCGCGACACGTGAGCAAAGCATTTTGTTAGCATTACATTATTTACATACATATCTTTCTTTGATCAACTAAGTGTTAAAATTTTATTTGAAGACCGTCATTAAGTTAAATCAATGTATAATAAGTAAAAATTAAAAGAATATGACCTTATATCATTTTGGAAACTGCCTGGCATTGGTTTATGTGCCATATTATATGACTTATAAATACTCGGGATTGTAAGAACCAAATGTTATTTCGATTTAATTGGTATGTGATATATAATGATATTATAATTATAGATCTGAATATGGAGCGTTTTGGAAGTGTATACAGGCCGGAGGGATTTATATATTCACGCAATTGTGCAAAATGTTGGTATTAGCAACGTTTTTCGACTCTGATTCTTTAAGCAGTGCAACGAATGATTTCAACTTTTTAGCGGTACGCATAATTTGCATATATTTAACGACTTCCGATTGTATAATGAAATTAATATCTCTTCATTTCAGGAATTTTTGCGCTGTACCGTAGACATAGCTGATCTATTGGGTTTTGCGTTGATATTATCCCGTATACCCGGTAAGGGCCACAGTAAATTAATAACGGCTGGTTTAGGTTGGGGAGCTGCTGAAGTGATACTTTCCCGTGGTATAATGCTGTGGGTTGGTGCCCGTGGCACAGAGTTTAGTTGGATTTATATACTCAAATGCCTGGAATCTAACGTTCTACTGGTAAATTGAAAGAATTATTGCAGTTAAATTGATCTGCTTTTGATTTTCCTCTTTAGATACAACATATAACAACAGCAGCTTTAATTTGGATGTTTACCCGTCATGATTTGAATAAAACTTTGAAGCCATTTGTTACATTGTTACTTGCTATTACAGTGTTTAAGGGTGTTTGGCTCGAGGGTTTATTAAGTGCCTTAGCTTTGGGGCCGTGGTATGAAATTGGAGCAAAGGCCCTAATATCCATTCTAATCGGTTTGGCTACCTTACATATTTACGCAGGCTTGGCCCAGCAGATTGGCATTTAAATATTTTTATTTGTAGTCCTTTTCAATATTTAACAACGGGTTTAAAAATAAAGTTCAGTAGCTATATGAAGTAGCTAATTAAGAAAAGAAGAAGAGTTCGATTTTTAAGTCTAACGAGAATTAATATAAGATTCTCCTTTTGACGAATATTGATTAGGCATTTCTACAGAAAAATGCTTGGTTTCCTCAAAATATGGTATGTTCAGCAGTATTATAATGCCTTCGCAAAGAATGCCCATTGGATAAAGAGGGATCCAAATAGTGTATCGCATCCAAGTCAAGAAAGCTAGCTTGTGCTTTATATAATAAAATTATGAATTCAATAAAATTTAAATCAAATTTACTTTCAAATTTATTTTCATTCACTGATAGATTACAGCCGCTTTAGAAAGTTTATTTTTAAACACCTCCACGGGCGGAAAAGTCTTGCCCTTCCTTACCACCGTTTGACGTAATAAAGTGAATCTTATGGTCCCTTGTCCACCAGGCAGGTCAGCTGAAAAAAAAAACAGACAGCTACCTACATCTGGTAACCGGGTACGCCATCGACCGATACCTACGTGATCAAATCAATTGCCACGATTGCCTCCGCGATTTGACAATGGAAACAAGCAAATTTCGCGAGATATTAAATGAAAGGGAAGTGCCAAAAAAAAAGCAAAAAATCATCTATTATCCAGGTCAAAATCCTTAAACTCAGCATTGCCAAAACGCTTTGTCAACAAAGTGTACGACCTGTTCGACGCAGCAGTGCGTGACAACATGACGGCACCCGAAATGGGCAAGCGCCTAAAAGCCACAACCGTGACACGACGTGAGCCCTTTCCTGCCGCAATGGAGCAAACCATAGAATTAATTTGCTCGAAAGTATGGAAAATCGGTCCCCGAAACCAGCAAAGTAAAGGTAATTCAAATATTTTGCAAATATATAATTAAATTTCTTGCTTACCTTTTAATTTTTTTCCTTTAGATTAAAAAGGTCCACCAAGTATAAGCCGTTCTATACCGCCCACTGCTTCATACAGATGAAAATTCGCTGTATTTCAAATGTAAGTTTGGATTTATCCTTAATTATTATTATTACGTATAAATTATTCATTTATTTATTGTTTCATTTCAGATTAAAATAACAACCACGCGCCTGCACTATCGCTTCAGCAGAATGCGACACTTCCATGAGCCATTGGTAAGTTTCTGCCTATTTTTATATACAAAGTTAGTCATTACATTAATGTACCTTTGCAGATATCAAGATGTGAAGATGTTAACAGAGCCGCCGGTAATGGATATATATTTTTTATGTATTTTATATTATTTATGTATATTATGTATTAATTTGGCTTAAATTTATTTATTTTTTTATTTATTATTTTATTGATTTTTTAATTATTATTATTATAAATATTATATAAATATTATACACTATATTATATTATAGTTACGTCTATAACGGTGTAGGCCTACAGGTGAGTCGGCCATTTAAAACAATTGGCAAAGCGCCTATAATGGTATCTCTAGGGTGGCGTGGAAAACCGTAGTTCCAGTATTTATAATTCATGAAGTTTATAATATAGATGATAACACGGGGTCGCAACCAAGTTTAAAGAATACGGTAAAATGTGTATCGTTGGCCATTTATCATCACATTAAAAATCGTTAATCAGATCGCCGCTTAAAAATATTCGGTGAGAAATTGCGTCAGGGGTATAAGTGAACTTCCCTTAATATAGCCAAATATTGGATGGAGAACTTCTAAGAATTGTAATAATTTCACAAATTTTATGGCATTTCCATTGGCACCTATACCCATCATTTTTAGCCGAGGCTGCTTAATATTATTACGAAGATTGCTATTCTGCTATGTCTACTTTTGATTTAAAGTTACTATCTTCTGCGTGTTCTGTGGTCATGGTTCTCGAACATGTCTCTTTGCAAATTAGAGTAGGTAGTCACAGGGCCAAAACATTGGCCGAATTTCAAGCTAACTTTTGCAGACAACGAACAAAAGATTCAATTATTAACTGAGAAACAACAACAATTTTATCGATTGGTATAGTATTCAAATACTTAAATAACTATTTAACTACAGGGAGAAAATTGAAGAAAGATAACATGAAAAATAGGTAATGGAATTTTCTTATGTAAAAGATTAAATACTTGTGATAATATAACAGCGATAAACTCTACTTTATGTGATAATGAGCATTTATAAGCTTTTCAGAAAGACGTCCCAATTTGATTTCATCCATTTCTAGAGAATTTATGCGTTTAGTAATCTCGATAAACTGCTCGGCCGCTAAAACTGAAATATATATGTGAAGAAGGCTTTCACGATTACGATTCTTATAATAATCATTGTTTGCTTTCCATATTTACATAATAGTGAATGAAATGCCAATGCTTTATGATTACGATATTTAGGCGTGAGGCAAAAGTTAATTGCATCAATTTTACTCGAATAACGCCATATTTCCAGCAATTTGATTATAACACCGTAAGCTTGCCAATCCTAGTTAGTAGAAAAATTTGAATTAAGAAAAAAAAAAAATGGTTTAAATTATTATAAAAACCTCTCGATTCATTTGTGAGCCCGTCGACTGACCGCTAGTAAGGTTGTTATTTATGTCATCTGGAGGAAATTGATTATTATCATTCTCAACCATGAAATGATATGCTTGAGGAGAGGACAGTAGTGAATTTTCATCATTTTTTTGACATTTCGTTTTCGGTTTAACTTTTCTTTTCGTTTGCCATTTGGCATAAATTTCTGTGGCATAGTCTTCCGGTGATTTCGTTTTTAAGATACTTCTTATTAAAGACAAATAGTGTTCACGAAATACATTACCTTCCAGGCATATTTTTCGTTTCAAATTCAAAATCATATTGATTGATCTGGAAAAGTAAAATGCGTTATTAAATAGCTTTGAATAAACAAGTAGGGACGATATTTAGAGGGCTTTCTAATACACTTGCATTGATTTGAGATTATGACCGCTTTTGATTTTCGGCGCCGCGTTTTTAAGACCTTTTAATTTAAAATTTCCTTTCTGTTTTGCTCGCTTGCAGTTTGAGGCAAAATTTTCATTCAATTTTTTTTAAAAAATCATTTGCGCGAAATTTACCTTTTATTGAGACGTGTCAATAATGCTTCGGCATTTAATTGTTTCTTGTTTTTAAGATACATTTTCTGCCTCCATGAAGCTCTTATTGAATCAGTCCTTCCTATGTCAAAGTTTTGTATCTGTTTGCGCATTTCATCGGCATTTAGTTTTATACATTCGTCTATGATTAGCTTAGAAAGGCGGGGCTTCTTTTTTACGTTAGTCATTTTATTTTGCTCATCATGGAATCTCTTTCGTGGTGTATTGTTCCTATTTAAAACCCTTCCATTGCAATTTTGCGAATGCAAAATTGTTGTAGCGTTTGCGTCTTGTAAGTGCTCATCGTCTTTGTTACAACTATAATTATATTAGTGAATAAATACTGAATATATATGAGAAGAAATAATTTACTTTTCTAATGTTTTCCTTCCGATTGACCTCTGTGGACTAGCAAGGGCATTGACAATTGTTTCGTCCAAAGGGAAGGATTCGGTATCACTATCTGCAAATTTATATAATCACATTTGATTCAAATCAAACATTTTAATGCCATCTAATTTCAGATATATAAACACGCAAAGTTTGAATGGAAGCAACTCTCATAAGGATAACATATATTCGCTTGTTTATTCTTTTTAAGGTTATGTAACTCATTTATTGCAGTTTAAAGGTTGAACTTTTGAAAGTCTATAATTTAGGCCAATCGTAATGTCGACTTCAATTTATAAACACACGCCCTTTCCCAGCTCCCGTTTTCCCTTAAGGTAGTGGGAACACAAGCTTATTCTGAAGATTTACTTTTTTATACTCTTCGCCCCTTGTGATGCAAAGGTATATTAAGTTCGGATGGATGTAAATCGACCTAAGCTTGTATGTTCGTCTAGTCATCTTGCAAAGGTCTTGAGATAGAGCCTCCATTTATTATACCGATCGGTTCAGAATCGCTTCCTTGCTTGTCTATCCATTTGTCCGAGTTGTTTCCGAGTTGTTGTGGTCAGCCTATAAATTTGATATTAAAATGGGCAACTTACCAAAACTTAGATAGCGTGGTTTTTCTAGTAAGTTGTGTTCACACTCGCTCTGTGAATATTCAAAAAATAAAATAATACGATGATGTATATATGTGTATATAGAAACTGAAATCTTTCTAAAAACAAGTGCAAAAATAAGAAAATTACATTCGGGTGTATTCGAATCTTTTATCATAAAAAAAAAATTTTAAAAAAATTTTATATGAAACTTGGCGAGCGCGGCTGATGTGCGGATGGTGTAGAATCACTCATACAACATATAACGCGAAATTTTTGCTGCGCAACAAGAAAAGCTTTTAGCGAGTAATTTGCTTACGATCAGTAGGGTCGAAAGTACCAATTTTAGTATCCACACCCGGAAAAGGGGGCTTGCACCACCCAGAACAAATTTACGAAGACCTTTTAAGGTATGTTTTCCATCAGCATAATTATCATCTGAGTTGATCTAATCTCTATCCGTCTCTGAAATTTGCAGTCAAAAAAGCTAAGATACCGCTAGAAATAGAAATTCTTGAACACTTTCGAAATATGCCAAATCGAGGAAGAAAGACGTCTTCTGTATAGCATAATTTGAGATAGATCGGACGTTTGGTGCAATTTTTGACGCTTCTGTTATCCAACAATATTTTTATACGAAATTAATAGGAAAAATAATGTCTCATCCAAGTGGCAATCTTTTTGCGCAGACCTCGACGTATATAAAATTTATGAAAACTATCTTATTTCCATTGCAGGAGAGATAACTTGTCATGCATAAAACTTACAGTAAAAATCACTGTACTATCTAGTATTTGTAGATGAAGGGGCATGTAATATTCTCATCACGAGGAATTTAATTCTTTTACTTGCTATCTTATAACTAACGTTAAAAAAAGTACTTACTTTTCGTTTACAAATTCTTCCATTGTTCTGTGTAGGTATTTCATTACCTGTAATGATCTTTAAGTCAACATACCAAAAGTTATAAAAAAAAAAACGAAAATTTTTACCTAGATTAGAAATAAATTTATTTATTTGGTTCAAGCCTTGATGACCTTGATCGATGATCTCTCCAAATCCGTAATCATCACCTAATTCTGGCACTTCAAAATAAGTCTGCGTATTTATTTCACGGACGGTAAACTCGCGGATTTGTAACTGCGTAACTTGCCGGACCTCCGTAAACTGGCTGCTTTCTAAATACGTTGAAATCTAGAGACAGATATTTTCATTAATGGATGTCAACTATAATCAACTAGGAAAAAGTGTCCTTCACCTCGCTTATAGAATCCGTTAATGTCTGCTTAGTTAGATTTTCCATATCGTCAAATAGATAATTGTAATTTGTGGTTAAGAAAGTACCCTTTGAGGTCTGACTTTTGGCCAAAAAACGTCGACGTTTGTTTTTACCTCCATGACACAGATCACTGCCGAAAATCCAGTAAATACTTAATTTAATTCGAAAGATCTTACTGAACATTACTTACGCTGACTTCCTTTTGGGATTTTTTATAATTTTGGCTCCGCAGATACCGCTTACCTTTAGCAAACTCTCGGTTGATTCTATAAGAATAAACATGTACTTTACTTTACTGTTGTCGAATTAAGTAATGATCACTCACTTAGCAAATTATCGACTTGCCGTTGATAGATTTTTAAAGTTCCGTAAAACAACCGACTAAACATACGAAAGGGTACTGCTACATTTTCCTGCTTAATAGAGCATAGACGTCTTTCTTTTCCCTCAAAGGGTATACTAATTTTTGGATCAAAAGTTTGCAGCAATTTGTTACTGTTTGTGAAACATAATAGAATGCATAAGTCGCCTAACACTCAATTCGTTTGCTTTAATGTAAATTTACCAAAGTTCTACCACATCAACATCGGTGTCATAATATTTAGGATTCGCAGCAGCCAGCCAGCTTGCAACGAACGGACCCTTATAAAAAGGAGTTATGAGATTCATGACTACCTTTCATTATCTCTGCAACTTATATATTCTAATAACATTAACCATAAATGCTAATTGGAAATTATTTGATCCGATAAGCAAGTGTTATTTAAAAGCAAAACTAAAAGATAATGGCGCGAAAGCGTCTTAACGGTAGAGACGTGTTTTAATAGCTAATGTATATGTATGATTACCAGTTACTTTTCTTCCGTTTTCTTTTCTAGGCTGCCACATAGTTGTACAAATTTTGTGTTACAATGATGTAATTATTACAGAATTAGCGGTCTATTTCTAACCAATAAAGTTACCATTTCAAAACAATGTAAAGATTAAGGACTGTTTGTAATAATAAATAAAAACAATGTTATAAAAAAATATTTAATCTGGCAATAATAAATCATTGAGAGTAAACTTTTTTCAGAGTACTCAAGAGAGGTTGCATTATTGTATTTTGTCTAATATTTTGGTAATAAAAATAAAGTTCAATAAATTTGTATACTTTTAAAAAAAAGGTTTAATTTTAAATTCAAAGCTTCATTCTTGACATATTATTGAAAAATTCGCGTGAAATATGGTACGTTTCTCTGCAGTTACAAAAATTGGCTGCGTTCAATGAATAAGAAATAAAATCGTGTAGCACGTACATGAGTAATTGTTTATAATTGACAAAAAGTTTTGTTGTGTTCTTCCAAACATTAGCTAATTGATTTGTTGTTGTTTGACGTGTTTATGATCTTGATCTCGTTTTAGGGTGATAGCAAAATTTGTGATATCAGCGATGACGTACGAGATGAATTAAGGAAATTTCGTTTTCGTAAGAGTACCAAAAATTCTGCTTTGATTTGTAAGTTTTTACCTATATTCAAGTGGGGTAAATACAATTTTTTTCACTTATCCTTTGCTTTATTAGTAAAAATTAATCGCGAAAAGCAACTTCTTGTGCTAGACGAGCTTTTAGATGACATATCAGTGAGGGAATTGCAAGAATCACTGCCTGGCCATCAACCGCGTTATGTGATTTACACATATAAAATGATCCATGACGATAGTCGAATATCATATCCGATGTGTTTTCTATTTTATACGCCTCGGGATAGTCAAATGGAATTACAAATGATGTATGCTTATACGAAAAGTGCTCTGCAGAGAGAGATCAATCTCACGCGTGTATATGAAATTCGAGAATTAGACGAATTGACAGAAGAATGGCTAAAAGAAAAGCTAAAATAAGACAATTTCCCTAATTTATTATATTATAAGAAGAAAAAGTACTTCGACCTTACGCTCCTTACGCATTTACGTACACATATTATTGAAATATTAGAAGCAATATATACATATATATATATATATATATATATATACATATATATGTTTTTTTTCTTAGTAATGATTCATTATAATTCCAATATATACATATTATAAGATTTATACCAAAACAGCTTTTTCTAATTTTATGCATATATGCATAATTATATTTATGCATAACATTTTAAAAATATGTATTGAATACCATTTTGAATTAAAAAAAATTAAAATTTGAATAATGTGTTACTTTTTAACAAGCAACGTATGTTGGTTAAACGATTGCCTTGCTGGACCACTGGAAAAGGCAGAATGATTTATCAATGTTCGGAAATGCGAGGTTTAATGCTTTCAATTGAATTGCATAGGGAAAGAAATGTTTGCTTGCCAAGAAGAAAGCTCTACCTTGACGGCACTAATTATCGTGAAATATAAATGGATACAATGTTGAGTTTTAGCATGATTTGAAACAAGATCATAAGTGAAAAGATCAGCCAATTTCCGTAACGTGTTAATATGCATTAATGAAATTAGTATGCATTTGTTTTCCTTAACTTTTTAACTGAAGATTTAATACTATTTGTAAATACCAAGGGAAAATTATTGATGAAAATACGTCAAAAATGCAATAGTATTTTTATCTTCCTTTTTGTATTTTAGCAATTATATGAGCTTTCAAAGCAAATTAAATTCATGTGAGCAATTAATAAATTCAAAACACAAAAAGTTTCAGGATTTTGATTTAATTTTCTTTTGATATATTTGATCTTTTTTTTGCAATTTACAGACATTTCTTTCATTTGTAACCTAAATTTTTATAATTTTAATTCAAATATTTTCCTTCATAATTGAATTCCACACTTTTTTTGTATTAAAATAAAACGACGATGTGTTAACATACCTGAAAAAAGTGCAGCTACTGCAATTGGAAAAAATACAGCTTATTACAGAGGTGCGGTAATAATAAACAATAATAAATAGTAGTCAGTCAATTTTTACTTTATATATGTTTGTAGGTAAAAAAACAAAAAGAATACCCCCTACAACAAATTACGGCTTTATAATTTCCCAATTACGACCTATAATTTCTTACGAAATAATTTACTGATACTGCATCAAACTGCCCGGCTTGTCAGTTCAGTAATAGTTTCATTAAGTTTTTTCTTCATGACTATTAGTACTGTTTCACACGTCGTTTTTTTGTGGAATCTGCAGTCGTTTTTTGCGGAATCTGCGGAAATTGAATAATTTTGTTCTTCTTCTTCTTCATTTCATGACAACGGCTTAACGCATAAGACGTAAGAAATTGAAAAAATTTCACATCGGGAAAAAACTTATTGTGTAAATATTTATTGAAATGTATATGCTTAAAATAAATATTGCAGTTGTTATAATAAACGAAAGACGGTGAATATAATAACTTATGGGTTAAAAAAAAGCAGTTGAAATAAAAAGCCTATATATCGGAAAATAGCCCTAAAGTATTTTGTGCGTGAATATAAAAAGAGAAAAGTGGTTGAGAAAAGCAGTGAGCGGTGAAAGAGAAGAAACCAAATACAAACCAAACGCACCTTTGCCAACGAATTTATAGAAAGAAATTCCAAGAAAAATGTAAAATATCTTCATTTTTTCCCGTGTTTTTTATTTTATTTATTTTTTCGCAATATTCCCAAAATAATTTCAAAGGAAAAGTGAAATATACTTTTACCAGTGTAAGTTTATGATATTGTTTGTTTGTGTAATAAATTTTCTATTTTAATACGTTTTCGTCGGCTGACTTAATTGCGACCTTTGCCTTATTTTTAAAATATATTGGCTGATTTTAAAAATTCAACTAATGAATCTAAGAAGGAAAAGTGGAGTTTGTTGTATAATAAGTAATTTGTTAAACTATAAATTCATTTTAGCCTCCATAGTAATGCATTTTTGTGAGCATTGTTAATTTCTCTAAAAATTATTTTCTTCATAATAGTTTTCTCTTGTACATTTTTCTGTTTTTGTCGTTTACGTTAAAATTTTCCCTTTTGGATTTGATTTGGTGCCATTCAATTATTTGTGTTGTGTACGTCTGGGGTGTGCTCAATGGAGTCAAGGTCATAATTGAGGTTTCTTTGTCAACATGCGAGTTCACACACCTTGCGAAATTTCGACTTATAAAACTTATTATATATCTCTTGATCCGGATTGTGTTACCACACATATACAATACAAAATATAACAATAAAAAGGCGAAGTCATCAGTATATGTTTGCTGATAATTTTGCCAGTTATTTATATAAACATATGTAGTTTATTTCTCTCCTGAATCATCAGAGGATAGTGACATGTATATTTTTCCATTTTTTAATAGCAGACATGCTTTGAAATTTAAATAAATATTTAAAATGAATAAAAAAGCTTTTGTGGATCGAGGGTCTTCGAGAACTTTTCTTGCTACCGTTTCATAGAATATATAAAGCAGTCCATACCTTATGTTTCGGCATAGCTTTGTTCATTTCCCTCCCTCTTCACGGACTGGCAAATGCTTTTTCAGTTTACCTTTGGAGTTTAGGTAAATGGTTGGAATCTAATGCACCCTTCTAAAAAATAGGTGCAACGATCAATTAAAATTCGCTAATAAATGTCGAAATTAATTTAAAACGGTCGGCGTATTTGCTTGTGAAATTGGCCTAAATAAATAAATTGGTGTAAATAAATTGTCTTGCTTCTTTAAAGTACTTTTTTATGCAAAACTGAAGATAACGACATATTAAAGTAAAAAAAAATGGTTCTATTTTTATTCAACAAAACGCATAATGTATTTTAAGAATTTTGGCCATAATTTTATAGGAGATATTGCGCTGGTTATCTTTGTTTTTGCCTTGTTGCCGTGCAATTATTAATATAATTATCACTTTCTTGGATTTTTTGTCTTCATATAGGCGGTCATTTTTTCATAGCATTGATAGTATATGGTGAATTAACTGATGAATATAAATTGATCGATGAAGGTACATTTCACTTTTTCGATATTATCACCAAATTACTGATTTTAACTGATAATAACTTGAAATCTCTCCTTGATTTGTCTACAAGTATATTATATTTAATAAACAGACTTTCCACTCAACAACCAATTAATATTTTTCTCGCTCATTCTTCTTACTATACCAGTGAATTTTTGTAATTAATAATAAAAGCAATGACTGAATTTTTAAACAAATTAAGTGATTTAGCAAACATTTCGAATCTCTGTCCTTATTAGATTTATAAGTGCAATAACAATATTTGCTGGAGCTAAAAATTGAAGATACAAGGGGGTGAAAATTCATAAGATTACCCATGGCTACCGGCAATGCGTTAACAGCGCCAATCGGAGGACTAGTTGCTGCTAATGCTACCACTTCCGCTGATTATAGCAATAATCGTGAAGCATCAACCAACAATTTGAGCAATGGGGCCATAGCTGGACATCAGTCAAGTCAAGGTTATCATCAGTTAAGTGTTACAAGTAAGTTTTACACCTTTGCTGGGAATTAAAATACTTGTTTTTTAAATATATCTCTTTTTGCAGTTGAAGAAGCTTCTTTACGTAACAATGGGTTTTTAAAACCAAATCCATATGTTGAACTGTTAATTGATAATAAAAGTAAACGTAAAACTGAAGTTGTGAAAAATACATATTTGCCCAAATGGAACGAAGAATTCACTGTTCTGGTGAGTGAAACAAATTACATGTACAAGTAAAACCACCCATAGTGCGTCATCTCTTTTGTTTACTTATTTTTTTTATTAATTTCAAACAACAAACAAAACAAAACAACAAAATTTTGTATTTATCGCGAGGCGATTTGTCGGAATATTTGTCGAAAATTCGTTGGAGAATTTTTCAATGTTTTTTATTATTTTTCAAAGGAATATGGAAGTCGAGTTCGTAACAAGTTTGTCATTCTGTCAATTGGAATCGAGATAATGAAATCTGATATCGACTGTGGTGTATTTATATAGAAAGAATATGATTTATCCTACGGTCCTCCATGTCTTATGGGATAGGTTTCGATTGCTATCGCGTTATAAACTTCATCGATTCGAGGCGAAGTCGGTATCGACCCATTTTCGTACGTTTTCAACTTCAGAGGACCTCTGATATGATAAATGTTACTGCATCGACCTGTACAAGTGGTAGTTGGAAGCGACGGAAGGTTTGAGGGACACACCGCCAACGGGATATGCTCCGACCAAGTTGCAAATCACTTTTTGGGTTGCTTTTGTTAGGGACGGACGGGCGTATGCCATTTTCATCATTTTCAAAACAATTTTTTGCACGAAACCTCGCAAACCATGTTTCAATTATTTCATAGCTTTGTGCATTTTCCCTCCGTACCAACTTCAGTGTTTCTTCACCTTCAGCTGCATACTTTCCATAGTACGACCTATCTCAACTATGTATAATCAAAATAAAAAAAAAAATTGAATGCGTCACGAAAGTTTTAACCTATAAATCAATTTACTGAAACTAGTTAAGTACAAGTACAGGAAAAACATGGCAAAATGGCAAAAGTATTTCTGAGATCGGAATATTCCTGATTGCGAAGTAAATCAGAAAGATTGACCGAGTAGGTAAAAATCGTGACTACTCAGTCAGTGAGCACGGGTTCGAAGCCCTAAAGTGCGGTAGTGTTTACTGTAGTAATTGGACATGAATCCAGTAATCCCTCTCTATTTCTTTCTTTCTGTTCATCCCTGCATTTTGCGAATAAGTGACATCCCCTGAGTGATTGGTTAAATAAAAGAAGAATTACGATCAGTTAAAAACTTCGATCCAAACCGTACGCATATACTCCCTTTTTTAGCATTTTTTCTCTTTTTTCTCTTTTATATATCTTCCGTTATACAATTATATGTATATATGTATACATTTCTTTTGTTCCATTTACTTCACATCATTGATAAGAGTATGATTTATTTCAAGATGATATTAACGTTTTTACTATTCGCTATTTTTTTTTTGGTTAAGTTGTCGGCCTAAATAAGTTATGAGCTCAAGCTTTTCATAAGTCTTCTTCTTTCGCTTTTTCTTAAACCTTCACTTAATAAATTTGTCTCGTTTATGCAGCTCAATATTTTATTTGACATTTTAATTGAAGTGTTTGTACTGACCTTGTATTTGTGTAATTTTCTCCATTACTTTTCATTCCTTTTCCCATAAAATCGCATCAATTATGTGCCATGCCATTCATTTTTGTCTCGTTGACGAGTGGAATTTATTCATTTAGAAATTCTTATTTTCATTTATAAGTTCCATCAGTTTCATAAATATTCTATGAGCTTCTTGATATTTACATTTACGATTTGCATTTGAACAGCCTATACATACACTTGCTCTCCTATCTTCTTTCGAATGCATTTGTTAAAGTCAAAAAAATTGTAATAGCAGCAATTGTGATATAAACCATCCATTTATTAAAGGTAATGCGTAATTTTTGAAATCACAAATTGTAGACACACTATTTCCTTGTTTAAATATGTATGGGTAACGCCATTAAACGCTATGGTTACAGCATTTGCTGACGAGGGAATATTCCTGCAGTTGTAAAGAGTTTCCTAGCATGCCCTTCTAAGCATTTCGTCTCGTGTTATAATTTCTTGCTTTTCTTTAGAGTCTACCTTCTCAACTCTCTTCGGTGTTTTCCTCTACTAGAAATCTGCAGATTATTATTCCTAGAATAAGATACAAATGTTTTGAGCGATCTATCATGGTCTCGGTTGCTCGATGTTAGAATTACTTACCACGTGCCAATAATGCGTTTCGTTGATTACTCTTTCGCTTGCTGCGTAACATTGTTTGGGCATAGCTACCATTTGTGAACGTAACGAGTCGAGTTTTGCGTAAAGCAGATGTGAAAAATTCCAGCTTTCTAACTTAAATAATTCCCGAGTAACGAGGCAAATTCCAAAAATGTTTGTTAAAAAAAAAACAAAGTTGCGTCCAGTTTACGCTCCACTACGAGCTTCTGCTCCGACCAATTTGGCCCATTTTTAATACCGACCTGCTTGCTTCTATCAAATTTGAAGTCAATATTTTCATTTTTGCGACCAGGAGAGTGTCAACAAGTCAATTCACAGACGGACAGATGGACGGAAATAGCGATATTAACTTAGAATTTTATGCTGAGCAAGAATTTATATATTGTATATAGTCTCATGTCTATATGTCTATATGTCCCATACATTACGGGGAAAAAACAAAATGAGTATGTCACCATTTTACAGTGGTTGGTGTAAAAATATAGCCAGCTTTTAGTGTTACCTAGTTGCTATAGTTACTTCTTTGGGAGAACTTATTTTCCAATTTTTTTCCTTATTTTGATCTCTTTGCATAGCTGAACTGCTAGTTTGGAATATTTTTTTTATTTTTTTTTTTTTATATTATATCATAATTTGCACTGTAATTTCGTTTAGGTATATATAATATTCAAGAATTCGTTTTTGTGGTATCTCTTTATTGGAAATGCAAGTAAATTGAAAATAAATAAATAATCAAAGTGGTTGGTATCTATCAGTGCAATAAATTCTTATATATTGTACACTTAGTTGGTTTGAGTTGATAGCTGAAATAAATCTGTCAATTTTCGAAACAAATGAAAAAATTAGATAAAGTTGAAGTTAGAGAGGCGGATTTCATAAAATTAGAAGACATTATATAAATGTCTTCTATTTGACTAAAATGGAAAAATTGTATACGTTTTTGAAAACTAAAATAGCGAAAGGATATAATGAAGAAGTGTACAGCGAAAATATAGAATAATTCAGAAAAAGAAACAAAATACATGTCTAAAGAAATGCATGTGTACCGCCGGCGAAATGTCAACAAAGTTTCTTTTTCCAATTTTTTGTTTTGCTTGTTTGCTTTCTCTTTAAAGACAAAAATGAAAGGAATTTCTAATATTGTTTATCGTCTTTGTAATGTTTCTGTAATCATATTACTCCTCATTTCCGTTAGTCTCTGAAAAGACAACTTTTGTAAAAGATATTAGTGGTGAAAGCCAAATTTAAAAAAAGTATTTAAGACAGTAGTCCAAGTATATTGTATAAACTTTTTTAAACTATTTCTTAGACTTAGTGTGAAATTACAGGCAGTTTAAGAGCAGACTCACATAAGATAATATAAGTGCAGTCATTTCGTATTGACCCTCTCTCTCTCTTTCTCTCTCTCTCTCTCTCTCTCTCAATCTCATTCTCATTTCTGTTTTCTTTACCATTTCTCTTCCCTTCAGATCACGCCACATTCGGTGTTACATTTTAAAGTTCTCGATCATTCGAGTTTTCGGAAGGATGGAATGCTTGGTGAGCGTTCCATTAATTTAGGCAATATCTTGCAACATTATAATGGTCGTTGCGAATTCCTTGAAGTTAGCATGGATTTATTGGCTACATCGAAATCCGACAATCGTCAGACAAAAAGCGGCGAGCTAGTTGCTATTCTTACGGGTCTCAAGCTTGATATGAGCAAAGTAACTGTTGCAAATAGTAATGGCAGTGTAAGCGGCACGTCAGGCGCAAATTCTGCTGATAGTGCAATGTCAATGGGTTCGAGAAATAATATGGTCCATGGTGGTATAAGGACCCGTATGCGTATGCGCAGTACCGGTAGTATGCAGGAAAATGGTAGCTTGGCTAGGTCACCTGTGGCTTTGCAAAATGGTAGTTTGGAGCGTAGTAATAGTTCTGGAGCTATGACTGGCGTAGGTTTACGTCGAATTCCAACAACATCAAGTACATGGGATCCTCAGACTGCAGCAGCCGTAGCGGCACAGCAGCAACAACAGCAGCCACTACAAATAACCCATGCACGTGTTAATGGCCCCGGGACTGGCGCAGTCAACACTCGTTCTTTGCCCCAAATGTATGCCAATGGTGCTGTGCCAGGACAACAATCCGTTCAACCGGTTTTGGATGGTAATTCCAGTTGCTTAATGCCCTCAACGGCTGGAGTTGAACAGCAAATGGTCGGTTCAAGCAATGGATTGCCCGTTTCTAATGTGAACGACCAGCAGTTACAAGCTGCCCAAGCTGATGATGAACCATTGCCAGCTGGGTGGGAAATAAGATTCGATCAGTATGGAAGACGTTATTACGTGGATCATAACACTCGCTCGACGTACTGGGAGAAACCAACTCCGTTACCACCCGGTTGGGAAATACGGAAAGATCCTCGCGGCCGAGTTTATTACGTGGACCACAATACCCGAACCACCACTTGGCAGAGGCCAAACAGTGAACGCCTAATGCATTTTCAGCATTGGCAAGGCCAAAGGGCACATGTTGTAGCTCAGGGTAATCAACGATTTTTATACCAGCAACAACAGCAACCAACGGCCACCGCAGCCGCGACAGCTCAAGAGGATGAAGATACTTTGGGACCGTTGCCTGATGGCTGGGAAAAGAAGGTGCAACCTGATAATCGTGTGTACTTTGTAAATCATAAGAATCGGACAACTCAATGGGAGGATCCACGCACTCAAGGCCAGGAGGTCAGTCTCGAGGGTCCTTTACCACCGGGTTGGGAAATACGCTATACAGCTACTGGTGAACGGTTCTTTGTGGATCATAATACTAGACGAACTACATTCGAGGATCCACGACCTGGGGCTCCGAAAGGAGCTAAGGGTGTGTATGGAGTGCCGCGTGCTTATGAGCGCAGTTTCCGTTGGAAGCTTTCTCAATTCCGTTATCTGTGCCAGAGTAATGCTTTGCCATCGCACATTAAAATTACCGTTACTCGTCAGACCCTCTTCGAAGATTCCTACCATCAAATAATGCGTTTACCTGCTTATGAATTGCGTCGCCGTTTGTACATAATATTCCGCGGCGAAGAAGGCCTCGATTATGGTGGCGTCTCACGCGAATGGTTTTTCTTATTGTCGCATGAAGTATTAAATCCCATGTATTGTCTCTTCGAGTATGCCAATAAGAATAATTACAGTTTACAAATCAATCCTGCCTCCTACGTAAATCCCGATCACTTGCAATATTTTAAATTTATTGGCCGTTTCATAGCGATGGCTCTTTATCATGGACGCTTCATATATTCGGGTTTTACAATGCCTTTCTACAAACGAATGCTAAATAAAAAATTAACCATTAAAGACATCGAGACTATCGACCCGGAGTTTTATAATTCGTTAATTTGGGTGCGTGACAATAATATCGATGAATGCGGCTTAGAATTGTGGTTTAGTGTTGATTTTGAGGTTTTGGGTCAAATTATACATCACGAACTAAAAGAAAACGGTGAAAAGGAACGAGTGACGGAGGAAAATAAAGAAGAATATATAACGCTAATGACCGAGTGGAGGATGACACGGTAAGTCATATAAATATATATTTTCAATATACTTTAATTTCTATCTCGAAATTCATTTGACAGCGGTATTGAACAGCAAACCAAAACATTTTTAGAAGGTTTTAACGAAGTTGTGCCTTTGGAATGGTTGAAATACTTTGATGAACGTGAACTAGAATTAATATTGTGTGGAATGCAGGATGTTGATGTCGACGATTGGCAACGTAATACGATCTATAGGCATTATAATCGCAATTCTAAACAAGTTGTTTGGTTTTGGCAAGTAAGTTTAACAAATAAGAATTGGAAGCGAATGATAATAACGAGTTGCAAGTCAATCTTTGCTTCAATTGTCCGCTTGTCCCAATCACGATTGTAGTCTGTGTTTCAATCTAAGCAGTGTTTTGAGTAGATTTAAAGCTTATATGAGATGTGAGTTTTGATTTCTGGTATCTGTGCACAAATAGTTTCCCAAACCCTGGCCAGATCATAACAATACTTACATCTTAATAGCATGCAAACATAAAAACCGAATATGCCCGACATTATTGTAAATATTTCTAGTTTTAGAAATATCGAAGCTTTTTGTTCGCCTTTCCGGAAAATTTGAATTCACTATTTCTAAAAAAATAAAATAAAAGCGCTCGCTTCGACTTACACGCTCGCGCATCAGAAAATCTATGGCGTATATGCTTTAATACAAACAATAAAATATTTTTTATGAATATTTGTATTAGTTTAGAAGTAACCATTAGCTCAGTTTTGAGATTTCAAAGTTACTCTCTCAAATTTTTTCTTTTTTAAAAATGTGAAAGTTTTTCAGTTCGCAGACTACTGTACTATAATGTATTATGATGTGCTAAGCAATTTTCCTATTACTTCTCATTTCAGTTTGTCCGCGATACCGACAATGAAAAGCGTGCCCGCTTATTACAATTCGTTACGGGTACTTGTCGTGTGCCTGTTGGTGGTTTTGCTGAATTGATGGGATCAAATGGTCCGCAACGTTTTTGCATTGAAAAAGTCGGCAAAGAAACGTGGTTACCCCGTTCACATACCTGTTTCAATCGGTTAGATTTGCCACCTTATAAGAGCTACGATCAACTTGTAGAGAAATTAACGTTTGCTATCGAAGAGACTGAAGGCTTTTGCCAGGAATAGATGCTTTGCCTAATATCTTAAAAATGGCTTATAAATGGTAAACCAATCAAGGATTATGTTTCTATTTTTGCATATAAACAAAAAAAAAAAAAAAAAAAGAACACTTCATATATTACTATTATAGGTAAATGTTTTCTTGTTAAAGTATTAATAATTTCTACAGAGACTACGCTCACTTATATATAGTTTTTAAAAAGTTATAAAATTTTCATATACGCGTAATTATACACCTTCACAAAAACTTTCTTAAATAAGAGATTTCTCACAGCGCTCTATTAATATAAATTTGTTTTAGGATTTCCTAAAATCTGATATTTTCTATCCAATTTATTTTATATAGCAAATACTTGTAATGTTCCTTTTCCTTTTGCAAAACAGTTGCTTTATTTCCTTCCAGATTTGCTAAAATCTCCCAACACGTTAGTTGTAAGCAATCAATTCTCTTTCTGGAAGTTATTATTTTTTGGATTGGAATTAAAAAAAAAAAAAAAAAAAAAAAAAATGAATAAATAAACGCGAAGTATTGATAGGATATACAGTCGTCCCTCGTTTAACATAATTAATTCTTGTCCTGCTGTACCAAAGCAGCGTATTGAAGGAGTCTGCGGGAGTCAATTGCCAGATTAATGTATCAGTGAGCTCCCTGACTCATGAAGATACTTACAATACGTTAAAGTGAGTCGGCCATGCAAAAAAAAGCAAAATGTTTTAAACACTATAAGTTAGATGAGTGTGACTTTGGTGAAATGTG